CAATGCCCCATCTGCAAGTAAAGTAACATCGAGTTACTACATTGAAATATCAACAAACTTACCAAAGATTACCCGACCGCGAATTCGTTGTCGAACAGAGGAATGTGCTGAGGCTGTGTCTAGATGTGTAAGTAGAGTGCTTATAAGAAACAAGACGTTGATTGCCTATTGCTTATATATCTGTATTATAACGACTATGTTTTTCCTTACAGATTAATTATGCTAAAAGTGTCTTCGATGAACGCGATCTGTCTCTATTGAAATATAATTAATATTATTAACACATTAATTTTTTATATATATATTTATGTATAAAATGGGKTTTTTGATTATGAAATAAATGACTGAACTATATGCTTTAAGTTGAATGCGACAGAAAACTAACACCAAATGAAATTTTCTCGAAAACATTTCCCATATCATACAAATTCCTTATTCTAATTTCTTATATATTCCTGTTTTACATTAATTAATAGGTAAATGGTTAATACAATTAACCAGTTAAGACACACTTTTTTTTGCATTTTATCGATACTTATTTTTGGTTGTTTATTAAAAGCCGTTCCTATATTTTGTAAAGATAACAAATTATATAAAACATGGTATAATTACTTAATTATGCTTGAGTCAACTTAAGTCAGTTCTCTCAATAATCGGTTAAAATATAAATATTTTGTTTAAGCAATTGTAGAAATATAAAAAAAACACAGTTTTTATTTGTAATAAGATTTGATTTTAGATTTCATACCGTCATTGAGAAAATTGACGAAATTAATATTAAGGAATGAATAAATAATGTTAATGTTCGAGTTAGCTTATGTATAAGGAGCACACTGTTTCCACAATTACGATTGACGACAAAGAATGTGCTTAAGGCTTTATGGATTTCTGGAAAAGAGACAACGGAATAAATTAGTTATTGGTAGTGTTGAAACTTAAACTAATCTGTTGTGTCTATTTTTAAGTGAATTTAACTTGTGTTGTTAAAATAAATGTGCATTTATACTAACCAATCCTGCATCTCTTCATCTTCGCACTCATCAAAAGTGCAGAATTGCAAATAAATATCTTGATTGTTCTACTTGTTCATATATATCGAGGTATATTAAACATGCATTATAAATTAATTTCAGTTCGTTAATTTACCTCATCCGAAAAGTCCATATCATTCATCTGCTTCGATCGTCGCTTCTCAGTCGACGTCAGAAGTTGTGCGACCTTAGTTTGTTTAGCTAAATCGTAGGCCTCCTTTTTACTGCGCATGGCGCAGTCCTCAAGAGTTTCAGCTGCCTCGAACATACCCTGACGTCTGTAGAGTGCGCCCAGGTTCTTCAGCGTTGTTGTAACTGTGGGTGAGTCGACCTTAGCAGCCTTGTGCCAGCCTCCGTACTCTCCATATGGTGTGTTCTCACGTTTGTCATATTTGTGTTCTTCGCGCTCCTCAGCCACCTAAAATAAACAAAAACGAAAAGGCATTAATGAAAATTAGTTATAAAGAAAAATGTTTATTAACAGATTTATGTAAAGCACAATCACACATTTCTTAAATGTAAAATGTAAGATAAACCGCTTATGTAGAATGCACATTCGGTACCTATTGGATTAATTTAAGCACCAACTTACTTTAATCAAAGACAAACGCAAATACTATACAAATTCTTGAAATTACCTGCCAAATGGGTTTATTTTTGCTATCAATCGCACCAAACTCCCGCTCATGGGCTCTTGTCAACACCTGCTTGTAAAGGATTTCAGCTTCTGCGTATCTTCCTTGCTTTAGATAGCATCCAGCCAAATTGTTCTTCGTTTTAGCCACATTCGGATCATCGGGACCAAGTTTTGATTCATATATATCAAGAGCTCTTTGATAGTATTTCTCAACTTCATCATATTTGCTTTGGTTTTGGCAAAGTAGAGCCAAATTATTTAGTTGCTTTGCAACATCTGGATGGTCCTTGCCCAAAACTTTCTCGCGTATTTCAAGAGCACGCTTGCAAAGTGGTTCGGCATCCTTGTACTTGCCACGCTTGCCGTAGAGCACAGCTAAGTTGTTTAAAGTTGCTGCTACGGCTGGATGATTCTCTCCCAAAGTCTTGCCGCGAATGGACAGAGCATCATTCAATAAATTGGCAGCCTCCTTGTACTTGTTCTAAAAGATATATTAGTATATATTAATTAAGTTTATGAGATTACTTATAATTTATACTGACTTGATCACGGTAGACAAGAGCTAAAATATTTAACATTGTTGCCACATCGGGATGATCGTGACCACTGGTCTTTTCAAGATCTTCAAGTGCTTGCTTGCAAAGCGGTACTGCTACTTCATATCTGTGAAATATATTTATATACATATATTATAATGCATTTTTATAAAATTAAAATTTCATTAATTTCTATACATTCTACTAATCCATTAGATCATATATTTCATATTTCTTATTACATACCTGCCCTGTGATGCATATTGAATCACAAGATTATGAAGAGTGCGCAACCTGGCTGGTATCTCGTAGCCAGAAGTTTGATTAGCAAACTGGCTAGGAGGCGTGGGTGACATATTGTGTCTATCATCATTTTCTTCATCTGGAAAGAGCTCTACAACTGGATCGTTGCGGGACTTCTCGCAGGATTCATCTTGCTCTTGATTGTCATCATATTTTCGAACAGATGCCATAAATTCAAGATGTTTCTTTTCCTCTTCGAGTTGTGCCACTAGTTGTTCAGATGCTTGGAATTTCTGTTGGGTGTTGGCTAGCTCGTCGCGTAGCCATGCATTTTCTTGATGAAGACGGCGAACTTGTGTTTTGAGTTTTTGTTTTTCAGCTTCGATATTTTGCAAGTGCGATGTTAGGGCCATCATGACCTGCGCCTCGCTCAAGCCAAGTTCAATGCTTTCTATGTTCTTTCGTAATATATCAGATTTCTCGTTATCTTTTTGAACTTCGGATATTCCGTTCATAATCGAAACATGTTCAACGCGCAAGGCTTCCAAGCCTTGCAAAACAGTTTTTGTATTGCTTATAATTTCGTCTTGCGACATCTGCGTCATTTTGCCGATTTGCTCAATTTTCTGTCTGCAGAAAAAGAAAAAACGTATACTTACAAAATGTGGAAAAGTATATAAAAATTGTATGTTATAACGAAACAATATGACAGTTAAATGAAGTTGACTATGATTTTCAATTTATTACATTCTGTAATTTTTGATAGCTTTTGAAACAATCATTTTCACAAAACGCGTGTGGCTCAAAAAAATACTTTTGCACAAATCAATAATGTAAAACTTGCGCATGCGCTGAAACTACAAATTTGTAACTTCAAAGAAACATCCCTAACAACAACAATTACACACAAAACGCGTTTTATATACTATTTTTAAGGTTTTGGTTAAAGATTACGATGTTTTACTAAAGTGTCACAACAAAAGAAAGTTGTTTATTATACGTTCCTCCTTATTTTTAGTCATCTACCCGAATTAAAGAGAATGTAAACATTCACTAATTTCTAAGAGAATGCCGGTATTTCTGATTACATATTAACATACTAATCATCGCATTGTCATCGATAATATTGAAAACACCGCCTGTGTCATCACTGTACACAGCTGCTATTTTTGGGCCAGGCAATTTGTCTTAGGACAAAAATATGTTGCTTAACACAAAACTTCTATATACAGATGAGTTTATAGTTGTGAATGAGATTTATGGTCGAAAGCACTTGTTAGCCAACGTAAACATGCAATATTCTGGAATAATAATGATCTATGTCTAATAAACTACAGCAACAGATTTCATAGTCATTGCTTTTAGCCTTGCATTCATTATAAACATAGAGCAATTATAAATTAAGTTAGTCGAGAGAATGTATGTACATAGTGAAATCGGGCTATTAACCTACGAATGGTGCACAAGAAACTAGGTACACATTGTTGATGACTAACTCTTATTGCCTCAGAGAAAGACAATTTAATACGGAATACCATGCTTATTTAAATAAATACAAAAGTATACGACTTAGGCGCCGACTGTCTATATTATACTACTATATTATACTTATTTTATGATTGTTGGCGTGATATGAATATGAAATATTATATATGAACATACACACAAACATGCATTCAGATGTAAGTGTGTAGGTGTGCCCAAGTGCTTAAATCGCCATTTACTACAAGCAAATGCTTGGGACTTTCTGTTTAGACTTTATAAATTATTAGATAAGCACATATCTTAAGTATGTACCATATGTAATGTACGCACAACTATATTAATAAATAATATTGCCTTTATATACGCCACACAGCACATACATATCTACACACTTCAGTATATACATACTTATACATGTATGTATGACTTCAACGACACAGTCACCATTTACTTTTTTTTAATATTTGTACAATTGCATACACACATAAGCAACATACATATATATATTTGCGTGTTTTGGCAGTAATGTTTTTTCTTGAGTCGAAATAATTATGAGTACATCACATATACATTTCTGCCTCATATTCATGTATATGGATTTGCTTATTGCACAAATTTACCGCCACCGCATATTTGTATTTATAAAACTGAATAGTAATTAGAGAATATAACACAAAACTACATGTTTACCAGATTTTAATAATAAATAAATATTTAAAAAAAAAAAAAAACTTACATGCAGAGACAGAACTAATAATGATTAAAAAGATACAGATAATTCCTAATAAATTATGTTATCGAATACATTTATTAAAATACCAAAAAGCTTCAGTCATGTATGGTATTTTTAAACTTAAAAATAGTATTATTTACTGCATGTTAAAACTAGTATGCTGAGCCAGCTAATTTTTGGTATGAATATTTATCGAATGAATATCGGATGCAAATCGCTCTGAAGCTGAAGCCGGTCGTTTTTGTTCCCTCCAAGTAATTTACAAACAAATTATAAAAGTTATTTCACATTAACTGAGTGGAATATAGAACTATGATATTCAAACACCATTCTCTTTTGGTAATAGCGTATTTATTTAAATTAATCACTATCATTATCATTTAAAATTGCTGACATAACCTCCGCTAATTCTTCCGCTTTATTTAATATTTCGTCTCTTGTTAAATGTGTATCACTACGCAAATTTTGCGCTGTAATTAATAGTTTTTCAAAATCATTTAGCTCGCTTTCCAGCTGTTCGGCACTATTTGATTGCTTTCGATTCGAAGCTATAATTTAAAATTTGTGTATTAATAATAATAAAAAAGATGAAGTAAATCACATGTACAACTTACAGGAAGATGGTTTTGTTTTTATGTTAGACCACACAAAATTTTCTAAGCCTTCCACAATTTCTGAATATTTGTCTGGTTCCTCTGAGTCTTCCTCTCCATCTTCTTTCAGTGTTATTATATCAAAAACTACATTTGCATTTTCTTTCAGTTCTTCAAATGTTAATTCATTTGGCTTATCCGATAATACAGTTGTTATTAAAAATCCCAACTCAATTTTGTTGGATATTAAAAAGTCGTTAATGGCCGAGAGGCTGTTTATGAAAGTTCTCTAGAATATTTAAATAATAATTCAATGATATTAATTCGTTAAACATATTTTAATTATACTTACATCAAATGGATCAAAATAGATAATTAAAGCTTCTATTATATTTTTTAATTCAGTTGGAACTCTATCGATCTTCCCATCGAAAGGGATTAAATATATACTCGTAGTGTAATATTTAGTTCTAATATCACATTTATAATGATTTATAACTTCAGCTTCATATGTTATTGGCGTTATTAATTTAGGTTGCTTCATTTCAGTTAATATATCTAAAACAAAAAAGAATCCGACAGAAATTAATAATAATAATAATTACAATAATAATGCTATGTAGTCAATCATACCGGCATATTCAGTAATTGAATAAACTATTTTTAACAGCGGAATTATATTTAATATGCATTCACATTTTAGTTTGCTATCACCAAGACTGCACACAATGTAAGCGTATTTTGAGATTTGCTATTCATCACAGGTTTCTGTCTTATTGACTACTATATATTTTCTCCTATTTCACTTGATGAATTTTCACTTCCTTAAGAAATATTACATACTTTCAACCATTTCCATTGCAGACAGTTTTCCATATGATAAAATCAATGCACATGGATTCATAATGATACAATTTATATATTTGGTTTCCTTCAATAACAATGCAATTGTAAACACACAAAATTATTCAGCTCTTGCTAGTGCCGACAAGTCAATAGTTCCTTCATCGAACCGGTCTGAAATTGAATATGTTAAATGCTATCGTTAACATCATCGTATAAATTGAATAATTTGGTATTTTTTGTGTTAAGTATTGTGAATTCACAATAAAATTCTCTGGAACCAATTCGACTGTGGATGCCCCGCTTAACACATTTTTGGTAATTATTAAAAACAAATAATTCTTGCTTTTTAATAGATTTCAATTTATTCGATAATTATTTGTCATACTATCGCACCAAACAATTTTTTTGTGAGCATATCGATATAATTTTTAATGTTTATTTGAGTAGTTCACAAAATGGTTCTATTTATCAATTAATACGAACCAATAAAATAAATTAGGCACCTTGTTGGGTGCAGTAAAACCTCCCACCGTTTTGACAACTATTTTTATAAAAACATGCCTCCCAGCAAACTTGACAGTCTCTATCGACGAATGCTTATTACAAGATTTTTTGAGAAGGGATGGGGCAAGCCTGAAAACTTACATAGGTAAGTTAGCAAACTGCAAGTCAAATATAAACAATTGTATTCATGTGAGCTTGTGGCCTGTTCAATCCGTATGTATGTATGTATGTATTGTTGTTATTCCTTTGCATCCTTTACGTAATAAGTCAAATCACTTGAAATTTTATTAACACAAATTAGTTCAATAGCGCATCCATCTATTGTGGTGCTTTGGGCCCATGAAGAAAGTACTTGACATGTTTGTATACTATTCTGTTTATTGCGGACTTTTAAAATTAGAATAAAACTTGTTGCAGGCGAGACCGTATCGATAAAAAGCGGAAATCGATTTTATAGTCCTAAACAAGTGCGGGTATTCCCCTTTAACTTTGGTAAACCACAGATTTTGCATTGGATATTTATTTTACTAATTTTCTCTTTAAGTGTTGGAAGATTGCCATTTGTTCCAAATATCTGTTTTTTTTGGTCACGGGAATAATTTACTGAATTTATTTTGTTCTAGATAAGGAGAATGATTAAATCATAAGCCTCGATAAGGATATGTTGTTGGTATTTTGACTTAACAAAATAATCTAACTAACTGCTCAGTCAATTTTCTGTACACACTCCAACCGTTTAATTGATTTTTATTTATTTTCAGAGTATTTCAGTTCCGAAAAATAATTTCGTGCCGGGAAACATGTTTTAAACTCGTACCACGGGACTATCCAGTGGAGATAACAAAAAAGAAGACGTATTCTGATTCGACTCTGATAGAGGGTAATTTTACAACACCTCTTGAACTGCATATGCCGGGAGTCGTTCCAGAAGCAGCCCAACAAGCTCACTTCCAATTATTATTACCAAACAAGTGGAATGATGAACACCACAAACCAATATGCATTCATTTAGCAGGTACTGGAGATCATGTGAGTATATTAAACGAATCAACAATCACTTAAACAAACTAATGAATTTGTAAATCATTTTAGTTTTTTTGGCGCCGAAGAAACTTTATTGCAAAGCCTTTATTGAAAGACGCAAACATTGGATCCATTATACTAGAAAATCCATTTTACGGACTGCGTAAACCAGACGATCAAATGTAAGTGTATGTACAATGGATCTATATCTAGGTATTAACAATCAATGAATTTTCTTGCTACAGTCGATCTAATTTGCACAATGTTTCGGACATATTTGTTATGGGCGGCTGCCTGATACTCGAATGCCTTGTATTATTGCATTGGTGTGAAAGGAATGGATTTGGCCCACTAGGAATTACTGGTTTATCAATGGGAGGTCATGTAAGTATACGCTTTGAGCATATGAAAAGTGTTAACAATATAAATTATAAATCTCACAGAAGAACTCTAATCAATATATTTTCAGATGGCATCTTTAGCTGCTACGAACTGGCCGAAGCCTTTAGTCCTAGTCCCCTGCTTATCTTGGTCAACTGCATCCGCTGTTTTCACCACTGTATGTAATACAAAATAGATGTACTTAAAATACATCAAACTTTCAGCTATCCATGCTTCGAGCTTTTACGGTTGGTTTTATGTTAAACTTAATTTTTGTAAATGGGCTAATGAAAAAAGGTTGCATAGCCTCCATTTAAGCTGGAAGGTGTTTTGTCTAACAAATTTAATTTGGAACTCAACTAACAACACTCCTAAAAAGAATTATTGTTAATTTACAACTGATTCATATATATTATTCGTCATATGCTTCAACAGGGAGTTATGAGTCAATCAATTAATTGGGACATGCTGGAGACGCAGTATTACTCTGATGGTCAATATAGGGAACGCCTATCGAAAATGGTTACCATCGTTGACGATGCTTTTACAGCTGGTCAAAATTTTATACAAAATTTTAATAGATCGCTGCACGAGCTCAAAGAGGATATTGATGATACCAGAAAAATACAGTCCCTCCAATGTGAGACGCATAACAATTCGGTTGAGGATGGGAATAATTCAATATTTTTATCTAAATCACTTGAGCACAATCAAGTGGAGCCGAACCGTGAACCTGTGCCATTAAAAGATATGCTCGATAAAAACGTATCATGTAATTCTAATTTAACTCTAATACAACCGGACACGGCCGAGCGATCGGCGCTGACAAAACTAATGAAATTTATATTGCCCGCGTCGTCTCAGAGTAAAAGTAAGAAAATTGACATCACCAAAACGAATTGGTGGGAGAGAGAGGCACTGCAATTTATGAGAGGGATGATGGATGAGTGCACACATTTGAAGAACTTCTCCGTACCCTTCGACACCTCCCTCATCATAGCAGTGTGTGCAAGAGATGATGCGTACGTACCGCGAGATGGATGCTCGAATCTCGAGGACATATGGCCAGGAGCTGAAGTAAGGTATTTAGATGCTGGACATGTGAGCGCCTATGTCTTACACCAAAAATTGTTTCGGTAAGAACTATTCTAGATAATGTATCGATATCTATCTAATCATACAAATATTTGTTTACAGATCATGTATTATTGAGGCTTTTGATAGAGCTAAAAAAGTTTACGAGAAAGCAAACTATAAAGATTTCTCAACAGCTTTTAAATAAAAGTGAAAAGTAAACATAAAATATGTAAAATGATTTTGATTGTTTCAGGCAATAATAGTTCAAATATGATTCGGAAAGTGCCTATAAGTTGGATATATAATAATCATATGCCAATTTATGTAATATAAACAAATGAATAMAAAATTAGTATATTTAAGTAAATAAATGATCAATATAATAACAAAGTGTATATTGTTGGGCTATCATTAGTACTCTGTTTTCTGGTAATGCTCTCTGCGGAATGCCGACAACTTTAAGCGCTGGCTTTGCAGAGATTGCTCCAGTTCTAATACTTTAACTTGAATTTCCATTTCCATAGTCTTAAGTTGAGATGGTGTTAGGTTGCGCAAATCATTATCCTGCTGTTGCTCCTGTCGAGCATTTCCATCCTTTACAGTGGCTACTACGACTCCAGTTGCCTTGGTCACATCACGCGATGCGTTGGTCAAGTTCACCAAATTTTCACTATTCCGATTTGCCTTCACTTTGCTTGCGATTACCAGTTGAACGGTGCAGGCTGCGATTTCTTGAGCAGCAACAATTAATTCAAAATTCTGGCCCGATTCACTGTTCACTGCATTGTTGGCTGCGTCGACAAGATAATTTGCAGCTTTGGCCACGCTCTTTGAAGCCGATATCAAGCCATCTGACCATTGGCTATTGCGCTTATAGAATTCATTGGCTGTCGCATTGCCTGAAAGGTTAAAGAAATATTATATGAAAGCAGATTTTTCATTTTATATATAGTTTATAGACTGACCTTTTTGGGAAGAAACGATTTCTTGTTGTAGCACACGCGACTTTAAGATTAATATTTTTATGCACTCCATTAGAGCTGTGCATGCCTCTAAGATTTTCTCATTTACTTCGAGTTTGATTTTGTTGTCGTTTTCCCGGGACTTGGAGAGTAGGTTAATTATCTTGGAAGCAGCCTCCTCGATGGCAGCATCCATCTCCTTCAGCTCTATTTCGATTAGCTTATCTAGATCCACGCTCTTCTCAAAGTTATTCAGTATACCCTGCACCACCTCATTTAAGCCATTTAAGTTCTTTTTTATTTCCTTTGCAAGAGACTCAAATTGGCGACTTTTATCATCATTTTCAACAACTTCGATTAGCTTGAGAAGATCTGGCCATATGGAACGCACTTTCTTTAAAACATCTGGACATAAGGGAAAGTTATTGATAAGAGTATATTTGAAAGGGAATCTTAATCTCACCTTCTCCCTTTTCGATGTCCGTTGTTGTTGTATAAATTATATCACATTGTTCGTAGAGTTCTATAAAATAATATCCTAAATGTAAAATGTCATGTATCTTGGCAACGCAATCATCAATTGGCATGTGAGCAGAAGTTCCCAATTTGTTTAGCAATGCTTCGATTTGCGAGGATAATTTTGGTACAAATTCCAATGGTTGCTGAGCTCCTTCATTCAATTTGGAAACACATAGATCTTTCACAGTCTGTATGGTTAACTTTCTCATTGCCAGCAATTTATCTTCACTTTGTTTATGTGATACTGTAATGGAATCCACTTTGGTTAATGCTTGAATTAAATCATTTTCGAGTTGACTCTGTTTATCTTTCATATCCAATGAAAGTTTATTCGATATGATCTTTTCATCCTTCAATAGTGTTAAACTTGCCTCCAGCTCCTATTAAACGGAAAAGTTGTAATAATCATTGGGCATATATTACATTTTTGAATAAATTTCTTACCTCCAACTCGATTTCTTTTTGCCTAAGTTTTAGATCAGTTGCATCCAATGTTGCACGCAAAGCTTGGGCATCTCGATGAAGTGTTTCTTGTAGTTGTTTGTGTTCAGTTGAGAGTTGTAAGTATTTATCTTCAGACTTTTGAAGGCTTTCGGTAAATTCCTTATTTTTAATAAGCAATAAATTTTCAGCTTCTGCAAGTTTTGCTTCTTTTTCTTGCAAAACTAATTTAACACTGTCAAGCTCAATATTTGTATCTTTTAATATATTTACCTTTGAACATAAATCAAGATTTTCATTTTCTTTTTCATTTATTCTAGCCTCATATTTTCTTTCTAACTCTTTGCCACTTGTTTCAAGTCTTGCATTTTCAGCCTTAAGCTCTTCGATTTGCTGTAAGAGCTTGAGGTTATTTGCTTTATCGCACTCTATAGTCTCGTTGTTTTTTAACAATTCATTGTTAAGCTCTTTTATTTGCAACAATAATTCTGAATTAAGTTGCTTTTCTTTGTTTAAAGATTTGGAATGATCGCTGTGCTATAATAATATATACAAAATGTAATTTATAATAAGTGCACATTTTTATATATCGCATTTATTCTTACCTGTCGTAGTAAATTAATGTGCTCATCTCTTATTTGGGTGTACATAACTTTTAACTTGTTGAACTTTTCGGATGATAACTTTTGTTTCTCCTCCTCTTCGACTACCTTTTCTGTATGTAAAAGTTATAAAGTTGTTAGATTTTGCATTTTTATATCATAAGAATTTTCACTTACGACTTATAATGTGATTATTGGTCAACTGTAGTTCTAGATCATCTTTTTCCATGCGCATATTCGAACACATTTCTTTAACAGAAGCCAATTCGTTGCATAATGAGGTATTACTCCTTTGAAGGTCAAGAACATCTTGTTTATAACTCTGTTCCAAACTCTCATAATTATGTTTCCACTCATCCAGCTTGGCTGTTAGTTGTATTATCATATCGCTTTTATCTTCGACTATATTTTCCAAGGCGTTTATACGTGCATTTAAGATTTGATCTTGTTGAACATGATCCGTATTGTCCTCAGCATTAGGAAAGTTGGTATCTATAAGGTCATCTACAACGGGGTCTGGCTCTAATGGAACAACCACAACAGGTGGCACGTAGCTACCAAACTCGACCTGCGACTTAAAGTTCGGACTCTGATCGGGCAATTGTGGAACCGTAATGAGGTCATTAAAGTATTGTAATGGTCTCACATTATTATAAAACAGCTTCAATTTGGCAAATATGCCAGCGAATCTCTCTCTATGACCGTAAAGCACATCGTTGGGCAATTTTTCATGTAGTTTAAACATAATGCGAACACTAATATCATACAAGGCATTTGAATCCTGTATGAGGGTTATCATAGGGGCTAGCCTACATTGGCCTGGTTGTGTCATCGATGATATCCTATAGGTATTTATAGAAGAAAATATTGCCACTTGCAGAGCAATGATATCCTCCAAATAATCGAAGATTTCCACGCACAATTGAAAGCTAGAAGATATTAATGTATAAATATATATATATAGAGAGAGAGAATAATCTTAGTACGTACCAGTAATTTAAATCCCTATCTGAAGCTTTTAATATTTCAGAAAATGGTATAATCAGGTTTCCAGGATAGAAACGATTCTTATCATGAAAGTTGAGCTTGGTTACCAGGAGCTTGCTATATGCTTTGATGCAATAGCCGATATCATCGTGCAGATGACCCCAGGACTTGCCAATCTCCAAAATCATTTTCTGATGTTTCTGCGATTGCTGTAGAACACATCTGTGCGCTTCCCTCAACACCTTATGCAATAGATGGCAAAACTTCCAGGCCGTAAATCTATTTTCCATAATCGGCTGTCGAGTTATAAGCGACCAAAATGTTTGCGCCTCCTTTGATCTGTGTATGATGATGATAATGGAGCGAGCATGCTTCGATTTCAGCGGAGCTTCTATACCCTTGAGCGCTTTGTGCACACTCACATTCTGCAATTAAATAACGCAATTAAATTATGTACATAAGAGTCACAGCAGTTTCATTGAGGTGCGCGTGGTTTTATAGGGGCTTTGCTTGTCATTTGATATATGTATGTATATACAAAGTACATATATAGTAATTACGATTCATGAATCAAGCTGGCATCTGTGCTCTACTATTAAAAATGAATGAAACTTTTACAACTTACTCGCATTACTATGAAACTCTGCACCTCAATAAACTACTATTATTACTACTACTACGACGATTTATAGAGTTACTATCTCAGTATATACACTTTACTATCTATAGGATTAACATATTTTATTGCTTAGTCAGCAAAAGTTAGGCCTGCCTCAAACAAACAAATATCAGCAGCTGAATTAAATATATGTATATGTACATACATAGATACAAATTTCAATTTAAGTCAGGAGAAATTACTGCTTAAAGTCATTGCACCATAACCAAAGCATAAACATGAGTAACATGCTGAGTAAGTATATTTGTACCTAAATACATATGTATGTATGTACATATATGGATGTACATATATGTATATAAATACAAAAGCGTGTGTGTGTGGTGTGATATGTGAGTCCACTTCACTTTTGCCCTACATTCGCAAATTCTATTTTATGCTACAGTCATTGTTATTATTTATATACTTTTCTTCTACACTCATTTATAAAATATGATCAGAAAAATATTAATTACAGGTTCATATTGTTTGTTTTTCTTACTACAGCTGTGCCGATCTGTACGTACCAGGTGAAGAAAGTCCTTTTCCGCGTGAGTTGCCATCTTTGGGCCTTTAACAATTAAATTTGGTTATTGTGCGAACAGGCAATCTGAATCACACTATGATTCATGTGTGTGTATATGTGTATATTGAAAAACAAAATACATTTGAAACATTAGTAATCTTATCAAAGGGAGTACTTGTTTATACAAGCATATATATACATATGTGTACGCGAGTGTGTATATAAACAATAATTCGTGTCTTCATATATCGATATTTACGATAGTTTCTCATATTTATTATGATAAATTGAGGCTAGTATTTTTTGCAGACAAAAAAGTCATTCAAAGTGATGTTCGTTTTTGCGACAGTGGAATGAATCCAGCTAAAAATACTGAATGTTTGTTGCTTTGTTCCATTGCGTTAAGTTCTTTATAAACATGATATAAATGTATATATATTTTTCTCTTAACTGGATGATGTAAAGTGTTAGTAATATGAAAGATGATAATTTTTGTTACTTAATATTTATAATTTTCAAAGTATTAAATGGATCAAATGAATTTGCAATCTAAATATAAGGCCTTTATTGAATGCAATAAACAATTATTTAAAGTTAATTTAATAATCAATAAAAGCATTCATAGATATATTTATTAATCTTTTTGAAAGGTTATACAAAAATCCAGCTTTAACCGTTCTATTTTCAAGCTTTCTATCATTCTGTAAAGAAAATTTAATACCGATGCTTTCTAATTTCTTTCCATCTCTATGATTCGTTTTCGAGGATAGGTGTTAATAGTTGTGCAAGCTATTTTATTTGTAAAGCTTTTGCTCACACATACATATAAATGTAATTTGCTTTTGGTTTTATCTCGAAAGCTTTTTAAATTGCACTTGCATGAACCAGAAAATTTATTTGGTTAGTCTTTTTAATTTAACTCCAATATAAACACTATATCACAGGTACTTTCCCAAAAGTAAAAATTAAATAAAATTAAGAAAGGAAATAGAAATTTCGGTTAGAATATTTTGACCGATGTCCTTGATTTCATTGATTATCCTATATTTAATATGAAAAGGATTTTTGATATTTGATATAGTTATTCAACAACTATGCGATACCATAAAAAGAAATTAACGTGAATAACAATTGGTTCAATTAAAGTATTTTTATCTTTTAGCATTTGCCTCTATGCCCCAAATACTTACTTAAAGAAAAATCTATTGACGAATTGAAAGTTTTATAGACTTATATCCAATACATACTTTGATCTTTAAGATTACGATGCCAACTATTTGTGTTCCTATTCTTAAACTAATTATAGAATTTAACCTACAAATGTTGCGACATTTTATATTTAAATTAGGCTAAACCATTGAAAGGTTAAATAACTTTATTTAGTATCTATTTAATTTTAATTTAATTATTTTTAATCAGTAAAATGGGGGACGAAGAAGATCCTTGGGGTTTCGATGATGGCGGTGATGCAGAGGCAACTACACAACCCACTGGTTCCACTGATCCTGTACCATCAAAGCCCGAGAGTGTGAAATCTGAGCCAAGATCCGAAGCAGGCCCTCAGGGAGCAGAAGTACCGGGGGAGGAAATTGCAGCCGAGCCCGAAGAAGTGAAGGCACCTCCACCACCACCAGAAGATGACGGTTACAGGAAACCAGTTCAACTATACAGGCATTGGGTTAGGTAAGAATAAAAACCAAATAAGGCAATATCTACTGTATATATGATCATTTCTTCTCTTTTATTTGTAAATTAAAGGCCGAAATTTCTGCAGTACAAATATATGTACAACTATAGAACCAATTATTATGATGATGTCATTGATTATCTAGACAAAAAGCAAGTTGGCGTTGCACGGGATATACCGAGGCCCCAGACATGGGCAGAACGTGTATTGCGCACAAGAGATATCAAGTAAGATTAGTGAGATTATGTAATACACCCTATTTAACTTTTCTTCCTCTTCTTGTAGTGCTGGCGGTATTGATAATTACTCGCAGTCCACAAAGCGGGATAAGCACTTAATTCAAACATTAGCTGCATCGATCCGAACATACAATTATCATACTAAAGCATATATCAATCAGAAATATGCAAGTGTTCTTTAAATTCTAAATATTTGCGAACTTTTCACATATCAAATCGGTTAGAATAATTTTATAGGATGTGGTTTTAAGAGTTTTGTATATACAATGTACATATTATTTATACATTGATGAGGAAAAACCTATATATATCCCGGTTTGTAATTGATATCATGACATAAAAAACTGAAATTCGATAAACTTTAGTTATTATGAACCTGAGCCTAAAGCCTGTCAATAGATTAAGTTATTTGTATCGTTTATTTTGACGATATATTTGTTTATTTAAAATTTGCTCATGAGCCAAGAAATATTTAAGTAAGTGCTAATTTTACATGCAAAACAAAAATTTAACAACTAAATAGAGCAATATGAAATAACTGTGCAATAAATATTTATAAAAAAAAAACGAGAATGATTTAATGTAGTTTTATTTTAACAGCACTTTGAGCGACCTTGTGAAGGTTACATAATAGTTAAAAATAATATCAAAAATTCCTATTGCAGTGTTGTATTCTAGTAGATATAAGAGTATATTGCATTGAATACTTGTGACTAAATTTTTGCTTTCAGAAAAAAGTAGTGGAAGTTAGTATTTACATATATTACTAAAGCAACAAGCATCATATCACACGCACACGAGCATATACATAATAGCGTAAATATATTTGTGTATGCGTATACTTGATGCATATAAAATGTCAATTACGGCATAACAAAAACGTAATCAACATTAAGGTGGACCGGACTATATGAAAAGAATGATTAAATATTGAATAAAACAAAAAACTAAAATAAAAAAAAGATAATTTTAAATTATTTATTCAAATAAATCGCTATATTTAATAATAAGAACAAATATATAATAATATCCAAAATATAAATAATAAAAAACACTGAAAACTAGGGTCACCTTAAAGTTAGTTCTTGTAAGCTTTGCATCCGAATCGTATCTAAATTTAGTTGTTCTTTTTACTCAGGACCATGTGCTATATAATCATGATAGCTCTTCAGATTTTGTGTTTTACACTTGTGTTACAGTGGGTTACTGCACAGGTGGATGCAAATTCCTTTTGGTAATAATTGAAATTATCTATTTGATAACGAAAGCAAATATTGAAAGCGATGCTGAAAGTGATAACTTTCTATAAATTAATCCAAATTATCTGTCTAAATAGCTCGACAAACGATTTACATGCTTTAATACTAGCTCGCGGGGGCAGCAAAGGAATTCCATTTAAGAACTTAGTTGAAGTTAATGGCTTATCATTGTTGTCACGTAGTATTATAACCATAAGTAATTCCAGTTGTTTTAAGCATATATGGGTGTCCACGGATGATGATAAAATTGCATTAGAAGCCAAGAAATGTGAGCCTTTCAAATATCTTTAATGCTTCTATTATGCACACTTCCTAATAATCGATTTTTATCTTTATAGATGGGGCACTAGTGCATATTCGACCAGAGGAATATGCGAGGGATGAAACTTCGTCCATAGAAGCCATCAAAGAATTTTTAGAAGCTCATCAAACAATTCAGAATTTTGCTTTGTTTCAATGCACATCTGTCTTTTTAAAAGAAAAATATATTAAGGAAGCGGTTGATAAATTTCAGTCACATGATTGTGTATTTTCCGTTAAAAGGTAAGATGTAAACGGTATATTTAATATATGCTAACATATTGTTTTAATAGATCCCATCAATTACGTTGGAAATTAGTTGACAAACAAATATTGCCTGATAATTTTTATTTGGAGGCTAGGCCACGAAGGCAAGACTGGAAAGGTGATATGGTTGAAGCAGGAATGTTTTATTTATCAAAAAGAATGCTTGCAACAAAGGGTCTTCTACAAAATGAAAAGTAAGTTTCATATACATATGTACATATAGTAAAGAAAATCACGTGATATTTCCCAATTTGAATTTCAGTTGCGCTGTAGTGGAAATTGCAGCTGAGGATGGCCTAGAAATCGATACATATAGAGATCTAACCGTAGCACGTTGTATTATGGATAACAAAGCTTAATCCTTATGAAATTTATTATCAGATGTATGACCAATATTTTTCTTATTGTGTTTTCGAAATAACTGTAATGCTCAACGATTAATTACATTATTCTTATCGATAGTATTTTTGGTATTTTCAACATTAAACCAGCTCTAGTTTGTTTCTATTATTGATATGTTTACTAGTTTTAATAAACGAATTGGTTAAATATGAATTTTCACAAATTAATTCGGTCTGCTGAAAGTATCATCGGACGTACGAGATATTATAGCAGCGTTGCGAAGGAAGAGCTGCCGGCATCATTTGTTGTGGAGGATGTGGAATATGTGCCTGAGCGGGATAAATCTGGACTGCGGCGACAACACAAAAATGTGCTCCACGAAACATTGCCATACGACGAGGCACATTCCTGGATACATTTGACTGAAAAGTATCAAAGAACCCTGTATGGGCGTTATGGGTCGAAAAGTAATGTCAATCCTAAAATATGTTTCGGCACACTAGCCGAACGAACAAAAGCCCAAGAGCTGCAAAGCATTACGCAACCTGAGACTTTGCCGGAATTATTGGAAAAACTTCGCATTAAAAAAGAGGCGAAGCAAGCAGCTATAAATGAACGCGAAGAGAACATACAAAAGAAGCTGGACAAACTGGAGCAATGGAAGGCAGAATTAAACGCAAAGGTTGAAAAACGTAGAGCAGATGCCGCAGCTGCCATTCAACGCAAGGAACGTTTAATTGAAGAGGTTCGTCGGCATTTCGGATTCAAGGTGGACGTACGTGATGAACGCTTCAAGGAAATGCTCGAACAAAAGGAGAAGGAGGACAAGCGCAAACAGAAGGAGGCCAAGCGAAAGGTCAAAGAGGAGAAGATGATGGCGAAATTAATTCAACAAACAAGCTAAAATAATTGTTTTCAATTATATATTAATGTCAGATGGCGATTTGTCATATTTCATAATTCATAAAATGTTTCTACATAAATAAGATCAGTTTGAATTGAAAAGCTTTAATTCCATTTTATTTTATTTCAATTGTCCAAGTCATTTCTACATAAAACGTTGCGTACATACAAAAAGAAATAGATTATTTTCGTAGACTTTGGTTTAAATTTTGCACAAACAATTTAAGCATATTCAAAATTGATGTTTAAACAACTACTTAAGTGTAACATTATAAATATAAACACTATATACAAGGCACTTTATCCGATAGAGTGAAGAGAATTTAGATGGACGACAAATAATAATTCACACACAATGTCTATAGGAAACTGCATTTTTTACAAAAGATAAGGAGGGTAGGAAGGCAAAGGCATTAGATTAATCTAATATTAAAACCGTTTACTAAGTACCTTAGGCTTAAACATTTTAAGTCTATCTTAGATAGAAAATTCATTTTTTTTAAACCTTATTATTTGTCAGGCCGTAATTCGAGTTCGTCCAAAGCATTATAGATGGTATTTCTGTGCTGAATTTATAATTTTTTTGACTTCTTTTTGGTTGTTGGTATTAAGTTGGGATAGTGCGGGTTGCGCACCTTCTCAGATCGAATATCCAAGCGCCTCAGAATTAATATCAGAGCGCAAAGCGCTAACAAATAGAGGCCAACAACGTCCAGTAGATAGTACTGCCACCAGCTGAAACAAAGACAGAAATATACATAAGTAAGATATTATATAAATATGGTAATTTGTGAAATATCTCTACCTCATGTTTCGCGCTGGAGTCTGTAGATGATAAGCTCCATTGTGCCGTAGCACATACTCGGTCCAGTAGATAGCTGTGTCCAGTGCTGTAGATCGCTGATCTAGCAGCAGATTCTGTCGATATCTGGCTGCATTTCTGTAGCGCGGATCGTGGATCACCTTCATGATGGACTTGTAGAGCTGATTGGTGGACAACGTCTCCAGGTCCAGCTTTATAGCATATCCATCAACCTCCGCCTTGGCCGAGTTGACATCGTGATCACAGAACACGGGCATTGTGACCACCGGCACACCGTGGTAGACCGTCTCGAACATACTCAGCAATCCTCCATGCGTGATGAAGGCTCTCAGCTGACTATGTCCAAGGATGTCCTGTTGTGGAAGCCAGCGTGAAAGTTTCACATTGGGCGTGAGATCCTGCATATCGGCAGCACTGCCCTCATACTTCCACAGCACATTGTAGGGCAGGCGAGCAAAAGTCTTGACCAGCATGCGACGCAGTGACTCCGGCATGTTGGCAGCCTTAACAGATGAGCCCATCGATACATAGATGAAGCCAGAAGCACCCGATGCCGAAATGAAGTCATCCAAATCCTTGGGCAAGGGTCGTGCTGGCTTGCAATGGATGCAAGCCACCTCTGCCACATTTGGATTCAGTGCACGAGGATACGACACAACTGCATGTCCATTCTGCAGAATGAAGCTAACGTTGCGTGACATATCGTACGGATGGGGTATATGCGCACCCAAGTGATCCCGCATAATGCGATGAGTGCGGCGCATCACATACTACGAAAAGTTTAAGATTGATAAAGTTAAGTTCAACTTGGATTAAGTCTCTATACACTTACGCTGTGTAATATATTCTGACCGATTTGCATGCCAGTATTCAGAGCTCTTTCGTAGAGACTCATTTGATCCGTGAAACTGGAGTAGAAGTTGGGAGTTATTGCATAGCTGGCAGGATTTCCGGCTAAGGACAAGCTGCCCGTATAAAAGCCAACTGTATTTATATACATAAATGGTATTTTATACAGATGCGTTAGACCCTGCAGGCACTCAGGATAGGCGCCATCCAATATAGCTAGATCGAATGTGCGATTCGCTAGATCCTTGGTTTCCGCATCACCCAACATGGCATCACAGGACTACAAAGTGCAAAGGGTATTCTTTACATATGAAATATATCTGATCAGTAAGTTGTCCCACCTCAAAGGCATATCGTAGCCCATCCCAGGGCTTAATGGGCATTTCGCCATTCATTCTGGCACCCAATAGATCCCAATTCGTATAGTTCTGTATATACTCGACCAAACTGGCTGGCGTGACTTCATGCAGACCATCAATATGAAAATCTGCTGGAAATCCGCTTAGAAACGTGATATTGTGGCCCCTGAAATTGTCAGAAGTTAAATTAATAATCAATTAATTTTTTTTTTATATTTATATAGAGAAGAAGCTTTATATCTATTAGCAGTCTCATTTAATGCTCAGTTCCGTATTTTCCCCCCTTAATTATTTAAAGCTTGGTCACTACCGAGCGTTACTAATGATTTTCTTAAGCTATTTTATTGGCTTTTAAAAATGCCTTCTAGATGCCTGCAGCGAAATGCCTTCGTTGTCGTTTTAGAGTCTTTCACGCTTGAGCTTACAATTTATTTAGCCTCGTTTGCGCATTATATCATTTAAGAAAGTTTTACTGACGTTGACGTTGCCAATTATATAACATGTTACAACATATTGCGTTTTATATATAAACAGTGATATGCTAGGTGATTTTTTTTTTTTTTTTTTTGTTATAGATGTTTTATAAATTGTATATAATTTTACCCACCTGCTTATCAAGCCTTTGGCCAGTTCCCAGAATGGAATCTTGTGGGATTTGGTGCCACCCATCGTGGCCATTAAGATATCAGCAGACAAGGCCTGGCAGGTGAATGTGACAATTAGCAGGTAGCGTATTCCTAACATGTTGCTGCACAGAAAACATAAAATCAATTTAAATTTAACATTATTTTTCTCGTTTTGTTTTTGTTTTTTTTTTTTTAATTGTTTAATTCATGTTGGCACAATTTTAATTATCGAACTTTGGAGTGACCCACCGACTGCTGCGACTTCAAAACCGTATTTAAATTCAAATACGCCAGCAGCTTGATTTTATAGTTCTAATTTTTAATTATATAGTATAAAGACGTATATACAAATTTATAATATACATAATAATCCAAATAGTAAAGCGTGGCCAATGTTCAGAGCTCCGGCATTTAAAGCATGTAATCGAGCGGATAATGCTCTTGATTCTTCCACCCAAAATAATATACATGGCATATATATATATAATTATTCTGTTGTTCACAAAAATGCGTTTTAGACTAATCGTAAAGCGGGCTTTAATCACACTATTGCCTAAAAGTCTGCGCACGTGCCAACGCTGAGCTCTAAACTTTGACACGGGCAAATGTAAGCGAATTATCAAAGATATTATGATCATCATAATTAAATGTGAAGAAGAACATTTAGGCTAAAAATGAGTTACTTGAACTTTGATATACCCTGTAAAGAAGCTAAGCTTGTTGGCATTGTTGTGCTTAAATATTTGTATTTAAAATTTCTTTTACGTAATATCTGTATGCTTTACATACATTTATATTTTTCAGTGACCATGAAACGACAATTGTTACAGGGTATACATAGAAGTGTCATGAAATGGGTAGAATGTACAACAGGTTTGCAGCTCCTAATTTGATTTTCGTCAGGTTCAGCGGGGTTAAGTGATGGGTGAAATGCATGAAAAATGAAAAAACTAATTAAGGCACAAAAAAACAATATAATATACAATATACAATACTTAGAATACGACCCTAATGAACGTCGAAACAAATTATTGGACTGAAAGCATTTTGTATTTTGTACTCGGATGTACCACAAATTTAATACGTACACATATACTTAATATGTATGTATGTATGTATATATAAATAAATGAGGTAATTTTCTATAAACATATTATACAATTCGAAAGATAGACGAAAATAATTGCAGAGACTCATCTTAATGGCCAACTCAAACTCAAGCGTGTCTCAAAAACGTTTTTCAATCTTGAAGCAACCGAAAATAAATGGAAAAAAAATAATAGCGCTTATCTTATATCTATATTTCAACAATCTAACGGGCAACGAATTTTCTTTTTAATTGGTCACGCTGTCGACCGAGAAAATGTAAAAAACTCAGCGACTTGAACGTACTCTATAAGGAGTTGGTAGAAGGAACTGGAAGAGTGGGCCAATATGGATAACATGTTATGTGTGATAATGAATTTAAGAGTGTTTATAAAGATTCTTGAGCTCTTTAGCTCTTGAATATGAATATACTGGCCTGAATAAAATAGATCAAATATGCTCTAAGATGTCCTATACGCCGTCTTTTTGAGCATATTTCTAGAAGTAACTGGACATATCTTATTTTTAGTTGCAATTTTAGATCGACCTCTACCTCTATCACGCCCACTTGACTGCACTAACTAGTCTACCTCGTTATCCGTTTTGTTTTCTACTTTTGTGTACATTTGAGCAACTGCTTAATTTAGGCAGATTGTAGCAGCTACTGGGCTTTCGAAAAGCTCATGCGTTTGTTACCAGCTAACCGTAGACAAATCGAGTAAGGGTAACTAGCGCCATGGTTGAGCTTGAATTCCACTCGAGAAACCAGTTCCAGCATTCAGAGTAAGACTCTAAAATAATTGCCATCATTGTACGTGCATTGGGTTGAATGCGCCGAAAACGAAAATGAAAACCAAAATGAAAATGAAAATGAAATTGAAATTGCAGGCCTTGTAAACGCAGCAGAGTGTAAGTATATGGGTGCTTAGGTGTGTGTGGTAATGGATGATTCCGAATAATTAAAAAGGCAGATTGTACAGCTAAGAGCATGTGGAAATATCCTAAATACTAAATGATTAGCGAGTAGAACGAGCTGCTGGCTCAAAATAAAGAAATATGCCTGGCTAAGTTGAGTTGCAAATAACCTTGCAAGTTGATTGATTTAATCATGTTTTCAATACATGCCAATTATGCATAAATATTTATGTTAAGTTCAAGGCAATCGTACAGGATCTAGGCTATGAGAGCATAAGAGGAGCGTGACAGCAAACCAGTTGGCAACACAAACTCCAATTGGATTCTTATTCGAGGTTGATTCTTAATCCTTGACCGCTTTACATTACATATTATTGATGTTATATATATTTTGCAATATTATCAAATCACGGATTTTGCTTTTTTGCGCAAAATAGTTGTAAGTTAACTAATAACTTGCTTGAGTAATAAGCATTTGAGCTTGAAAAATGAGTAGTGGAACCGTATGAAGTAGTTGGGATAACTACTGCTATAAGGATTAGCTCTCAGTACTCAGTGTCCTCAACCTCTTTTATACAGCAGAATGAAGAATTATTTATTATAATCATCAAATACTTATCGAATTTCTAAGTTAGTTTTCTTTGCTACTCTCCATACTCTGCAGATGATTCTCGAATATTAAAGCGAACTCCTGACAATATCGCTCACATTGAATCTAAAAAGTTCCTAGAATATTCAACTGCAATCTATATTGTATACTTCTTTCTTAATTAGTATAAGAATAAGAGTTAATTAAGCATTCTTAAATAATGTATATATTTAGTATATATTACTAGTATTATTTATAGCTAGATAACTCTTTTTACAGTGTCTATATTATGCAAGCTTGCTTAATTTGATTTGAGAACATTTCAATTTCAAAATTGCTAAGATTTGAAAAGCTGAAATCCAGGTTTGATTGCTTTTGAGATTCGAATTGCATATCAAATTAAGGCGTTTCACAGTTGATGTCGCAAAAAAACACACATTTTCGCATTACAAAATTGACCACAAGTCCATGATTAGCACAAATGAATGCCTTGTTTTTGTATTATTTTTTTGTTTTTTTTTTTTGTTTTTTTTTTGTTTTTTTTTTTTTTTTTTTTTTGGGTTTGCAATATAACCAGTTTGCTATGCTATAGTCTGAATGAATTGCAGAAAAAGAGCTTTTATACACTTGCTTGGGGAGTAGTTAAAATTTGTCACGATTTTGTTGACACATCAAATATGCATTACAAGAGCTTAAATTTGAGTTAACGGTATCACCGTAAACATATACTTATGTGAGCTATAAGAAAAAATATAAACCTTGCGTGAGAGATTAACGTATTACACACATGTACATATGTGATGTGGATCATTGATAAATCGGGCGGTATTTCCGAAACACGAGTCTACAAGGGTATTACGCGCTTTGTTAATGCGGCGAATACTTTTAGACATATTTATTTCGAGAGATATGGATGTGCTTGGATCTTTTGTATTTTGAGTCTTAGACATAGTCAACTAATTAACCTGTCAATTTTATATGCGCAGTTAAATAATGAAACATGCACAAAAAAATAAAAATAAATAAATAAAACTGAAAAATAAAGAAACAACAAAGTGCTTTGATATTTTTGCACACAGCTTTTGTCGCAAGATGTGCCAAAAACAAGAAATTATTAAAGAAAAAAACATTAAAAAAAAAAAAAAAAAAACATTGTGCAATTTAAAAACATATTTTGACTATTTATAACAAACAAGCTAAGCATTTACAATGACAATGCCAACAAAATGAATAAGAAGCAGAAAAAACGCCTACTATGGAAAAAAAGTATCGAACAATAATTTTGCATTTAAACAAAAAACGAGGCATTGTTGCTCATCTTGTTCCTTTGTCAATGTCACTTGCAATTTGTTGTTTCTTTCTTTTCTTTTTGTTTTTGTTTATTTTTTCCCACTTTTTAGCTTGTGCCAATTTGGCGCACATAAATTATTTGCAGCTGTGACAAATAAAAGCATAGAAAACACAGCAAAAAAGAAATATAAACTATAAATGATATTTTTCAGAGGCCTAATTAGCATATTTTTTGGGTGAAGAAAAAAAACTTTCAAATGAAAAATATATGTATAATCAAATTTGTCTTGGAATTTTTTATATCAAAATGTTTTTTTTTTTTACAATTTTTGTAATTTTTTGTGTGTTCCAATTGGCCTGCCGCCGCTGTTATATAATTTATATACATTTGCCTGTGTGTTTGCTTAAGTACATGATATAAATAACAAGTGTGTGGACTGCGCAACAAGTTCGTGTCGCAAGTCTTTTGTTTTTTCAAGCTTATTTTTATGAAACTTCTGCAAAGTTTTTCTTGAAAGTTCAAGCTAAGTGGAGCTGCATTAATTGTGTTGACCTTGCCCTGACCCAACGCATCTATTATGTTTACAGTAATGTTGCTGTTTTTGTTGCTACTACTATTGTTGTTGTCTGGGGTCAGTTTTTTTGCGCAATCGATTGGCTTTCGCGCCGGTTTTTGTTGTCTGTTGTGCAAATACACATGACTCGAAAAGCATATTTACAGCCAAACATTTATGGCTATGTGTGCGTGTGTGTGCCCATATGTATGTGCATGTGAGTGAGTGAAAAATCTGGTTATCAATTTCTTGGACAACGTAACACTTGAGTCACTTGCTGCAGCAGCAGCAGCAGCACAAGCAGCAATGACAACAAAAGTAACAGCAACAACAACAACAAACATGGTCAGCAACACGTATTGCACTTGCAGCATTCACATTAAAAAAGTAACTGTTTATGCCCAATATCCTATATATAATCTATATATAGACGTGTGTGTGTGTGTATGTTTATTACGTATTCAGGTCAAAGTTAATAATTTCTTTTATACAAGTTTTGATTATTTGGTTGTTTCTGTTGTTGTTATTGTTGTTATTGCACTCTCTGAAGTTCAGGTCTTGTCGTCTTTTTGTGCCTTGTTGCACGTTTCATTGGCCGACCAACGTTCAATTCAATAATTTTTTTTATTTGTATTTTTTGGGCTCGTGCATAAGCGTAGCAGTTAACATACTTTCACCAATGCAAATGTATTATTTAATACAGCTACAATACAAAAAACAAGCATTTTGTTTCTTTTTGCACTGTCCACTTTCACGTTAATTTTACCGTTATCCGTTAACTGCAACCAGCTCTCAGAATAAAAAACTTCACTTCACTTCGCTTCGCTTCACGTCGCCTCGCTTCCTTTAAATATGCTAAATATCGCACATTATTTCTTTTACAATATGCAAAGTGTTTAAACGAAACAATCACTAGACAGACACACACGCACTATAAAAACATACATATGTGTGCGTGTGTGTACTTTAACTATCAAAGTGATTTTTCTTATACTCCGTTTGCTCCGGCAAGTTTTGTGCAGCACGTAAGTAGTTTCACCGCGCGATCCCATCGACTAACTAAGCAAAGTTGTTGATAAAAACGCCGTTATGGCATTTTCGGAGATACGCTGTTGAATGTAACGACAAACAAAACGTTACGTTGTTTGTGTATTTTTCTCGGTATTATTTAGCGCTTTTCTGCAAGCAGCGCTACTAGTTCCATTTAAAGACGTTGGGAGCAAAATTGATTTGTTAAATGAAATATTTATTACGAGATATATTTAAATAAAAGTGTCAATGAAAAATGTTTATAAAATTGTTATTTTTATATCTATTAATATTTCAATAAATAGTATCAAATAATTGTTTTAATCATTATATGTGCTTACAGTTACTTACGATCTATTAATTTTCCCATATATATATTTAACAATCATTGGTACATTAACTTTCCAAGCCACATGTTTCCGTTTCACAATAATAATTCTGAAGGCTCTTATCCGTTTTATTTAAGCAAAGACATAAACCTAAAAAGGTGGCTTAAACTTAACTAACTACTGTCGATACATAGATGGCGCTGCTAAGCGGATAAAAACGATTGCCTAATTTTGTGCACCATTAAACTAACTCGGAACTTTAAAATTATTTAAAAGTATTTTGTGTTTTTTTAAATATTTTTATTCTATACTAAAATTACTGATAACGTTGAATTAGGTTAAGATTTTGTATTATAATCTCCATCTATTTCCCACTTATATAATGGTAATTTCATATTCATTTCATTCATGAAATGAAGCTGAGCTTTGATTTCAATCAAGAGAGTGACTAACCATGCGCAATTGAAATACATTTGTTTTATTGCGGAAACTTTACTCACCCGCCTGTTGTTTAGCCAATTAATATTTACTTTAAGTTCGGTTTTTAATAGACAAAACACCAATGTTCCCATGCTACTCTCTCTCCCTCTCTCGCTCTCTCTTACTCGCTCTCTCTTTCTCTGTTTGTGATCTCGCGTAAGACTGCATATGTATGTGTTGCGTGTGCTCGTGTGAATCCGTGTGTGTGTGCACATTTATCAGCATATGTTTCAATGGCCTTAGTCCAGTGTCAGTCGCTTAATTGGTTTCTACGGCATCGGATCTCTCGGGTATGTGCGGAGTTTGATGATATTTTGGAATCACTTATAAAAATAAGAAATCATATTATATAAACTATAACAAGTTCACAAGATACTAGCGCAGATAAGTATCTGTACATATAAAATATTGACTTGCGTATATATATAAACATATGTATATATGCTTACTTATTATATGTATTTAGTGCGAGCTACACTGCATTCCGGTTTTGGATTAATCAACAAATCGACGACGACGACAAGGCGAAGGCGAAGACAAGGGAGACGTGTGGTGCGACGTCAGAGACTATTTTAAATTCAAAACAAGACAAAAATCCCAATCGAAAACGGAAAAATTCGCATAAATTAAACTGTTCTCACATCATACTCGAGTTGCGAATCAATGCCGAAATAAGAGACATATCAATATCAATTCCTAAAATATCTGAGACGAACACAAAGGAATCTCAAGATGAATGTCATAGGTAAAACCCATTTAAGCTCTGCGTAATTTTTTTCAAGAATTAATTCAATTAAATGCTATATTCTTGAAAGTAATTAATGCAAGTAGATTATGTAGATTCTGGGAGACTTCCATCGACTATATCTACTATATATTATCGCTTTCATAAATTTCAGATCGTGTCTGCCGCCTTCTAGCTACAGCCCTCTTGCTCTGCTCCATTTCCTGGGCTCAACAGCGTCTCCCACAGCTTTCCGTTGGCTTCGATCTGCAGCCGCTGACGCCGGCGGCAGCTTTTCAGTCTCAGAGCGGTCAGGAATACGCTCTGCGCTCCAACTTCGATGAGGAGACGCTGCGCAGCGTGGCGCAGAGCTCACAGCAGTTTGGACTCGACTTCCTGAATCGCATCTCCGTGGTGGTGGCCAAACGTAACGTCGACTTTATGGTATCTCCCTTCTCGGTCTGGTCGCTGCTGATACTGCTGTACGAGGGCGCTGGCGGACAGACTTATGAGCAGCTGCGTAAGGCGCTGCGCATCAATGTGGACGACGAGAAGCTGCGCGCCGTCTACCGTGTGTGGAGCAGCTTTCTCAAGTAAGCCCAGCATTTGGTAATCAACTGTGGAGCTCTTGTTATTAACATTATCTTTGCCCATGCAGCACCAACAGCTCCGCGATTGAGGTGGCCTCCCTTCAGGCCTTGTACACGGACTCAAAGACACCGGTTAAGAGCACTTACAGAGAGGTTTCGAAATCATATGGTGTGCAGCCCGCGGAGGTGGATTTCTACAATCGCGAGACAATATTCCTAATCAATGATGCCACAAATCGCTCTACCCGTGGCCTCATACCCTATGCGGTGTTGCCTCAGGAGATTTATGGCGCCAAGATGTTTATGCTTTCGTCGCTGTATTTCAAGGGCCAATGGAAGGTGATACACAGATTACCCATATGTCGTTATACATATGCCGTAAATACAAAATTTACTCCTAGTACCCTTTCAATGTAAGTGCCACGCGTCCGGAGCCCTTCTATAATGAGCAGGGACAAGTCGTTGGGCAGGTGTCGATGATGTCGCAGGAGGGCAACTTTGCCTATGTCACCAACGTTGAAGGCTTGGATGGCTACGTACTGGAGCTGCCGTATGGCGAGCAGAATCGTCTCTCCATGATTGTTGTGTTACCAAAGCGGGGCTTCAAGCTCAACGATGTAACCAAAAACCTAATGGACTTGGGTCTATCACCAATCTTGAGGCGTCTGGAGAACTTTGCCCGCAATGCGGACGAGGACAATGTGGTGGAAGTTTTGCTGCCCAAGTTTACAACAACGACGGACTTTAACCTAAGGCAACTACTGCAAGAGGTGAGTGGACATCAAAGCCAGTTGTAGTTCTCTAAATATACAGAATGATTGTTACAGATGGGCATCCAGGATCTGTTTGATCAGAGTCGCTCAAATCTGAGTCGCATGGCCGATGGCCTGTTCGCCAAGCTCTGTGTGCATGCCACTAAAATCATTGTGGACGAGAAGGGAACCACAGCAGCGGCTGTCACTTCGGCCGTGCTGAGCAACAAGTCATCGCCGCCAAAGTTTTACTTAAACCGGCCCTTCCTCTACATGATTGTGGATAAGTCAACCAATTTGCTGCTCTTCGCTGGCCAAGTGAGAAATCCAAAAGCGGCTTAAGTCAAGTTAATATTTTCGTTTTAATGACATAACCTAAATAAACTATAAATGCGAATCAACTCTTATTTTTTCGCCCGCCCAGCAGCCTTTTTCCCTCCAATCGGTTGTTGTTTGTCTTTGCTGGCTTTGCTGGAAATGAGCGGATGTGTTTCTAAAAGAAAAACAAAAGTGAGGAAGCTGATTGTGTTATCTGTAGCATGAATCGCTATTTTTTACTTACCATCGGTAGGCGCGTCGGGCAGGCTGACATCATAGGGTTGCATGCGCCGGCGCTTTGAAGCCATTATGTCTTCTTCGTAGTCACGTGAATCGCTACCCACTAAAGCAGAGGGAGGATCTAGATTATCTTGCGTTGTCCAGCCATCCTCGGGATCCTCCACCTCGGGTGCCATGGGCAGGAATTGTAAGGCATTCTCATCTTCGCCCTCTTCGTCAGAGGAGCAAAATGCTGCAACCGGCTCCACTTTTTGTACATCCACCTCAATCTCCTCGTCCTGCTGAGCATCAGCATTCAAGTCCACCGACTTATCCTCATCGGCAATATCAAATTCAGACTCTCTTTCTTCATACTCAACGTTCTCATCCAGTTCCTTAAAGTCAGGCGCAAAAGCTGACCAATTCTCCACCTGATTCTGTGCCCATATCGAGACTAATCCTGAACTAATACTAGCTATAATTGGACGCACAGGATGCCAGACAACGTCCAGCAGCAACTCCCCTTTGGTGCCATGCAAAATCTTCACAAGATTTCCAATTGACTTTTCCCAAATATACAATGCATGCTGTCGAGCGCTGCCCGCACAAATGTATTCTCCATCGCCAGAGAAGCAACATTTCTTCCACGTTGTTCTACAATTAAGAATTACTATGAGAGAGGTGGGATAAATTGGCGGAGAACATACTTGTTGACCAGATCCTGTAGCTTTTGTATGGGCTCTGGCTCGCCATCTTTGCCCAATGCGATAATCTCTTTAGAATCGTAAACGCGGATCACACGATCGGATGTGTTTATGAGAAAGGCGCTAAAAAAGAAAGTTTCGTGGTTAAGTTTATTAGTTAACAGGGCAAGCAATGCCACACTTACTCCCCGCGACGTGCGAATTCAATGCTCTTCACAGCCGTTGCACTCGATGTTCCTACAATAATCCGAAAACTGGCGACTACCTCAAATGTCTCTACGTCCAGCACAAGGATTTTGCCCTTCGCATTGCCGGTGTATATATGTTTACCGCGTCGATCAAACGACGCAACTATATTCAAATCGCCCTGTCAAAGAAAATACAATGTTATACGTAAATCTTCGTCTACTTTCGGAGCTAATCAAAAAGCTGACACTCCGAATTTTTGTTGGTCTGCCAGGAAAACTTACATCAGAATCCAGCGGAAGGCAGCGATGTGAGCCTGCTATTTTAACTAAAACAGCAGCATAGCGCATTGGGCAGACAAGCAGGCGGCTATCGTTGCGTGGGTCGAACTGCACCTTTAGAACGGGTGAAGGGAAGCGATATTTGTGTTCCAATTCACCGGTAAGCACATCCCATATGCAAACATTGTTGTCAGTGGAAGCAGAGAGTAACTAGAAATGAAAAGCATAATTTAACATATTGATTAACGAATAACTAAGATTGCATTTGTCACTTTGTGGCCATTTCTAGTCCAGCTAAGACTGCAGACAGGATGTACGTGGGCTGATATTATTTTTGCTATACCGCGCGTCAAAAAATCCCAAATAACAATTCGTCCGTCATTGCAGCCGACGGCCAGTAAAGTTCCGTATTTGTTAAAGGCACAGGTAACAGCTAGCGATATGCAATCCAGGGAGCCATCAAACTCCTCGGGATAGTTTTGGCCAAAAGATTCTAAAAAGTAACAAAAATATGTATAATAATATATTATTTTAATAAATTAGCGCAAAACCTACCAAGCAGTTCTAAATTCATGTTTGGGTTTCTTCTTCTTTAATGACATTCACCTAAATTGTTTGTAATCGATAGACATGTTTATATATCGACAGCTTCCCTAAAATAAGAATCGTGATTTAATGTTCTTTTATGGAATAAATGACTTAATTGTTCTACAATTTATCAGTATAAAAAATTAAATAAATTAAAATAACCCAAATTTCGAATATTGTACATTTTTAAAAGAAATGTATAGGAAATGGAACCAAGTCCAATCAAATATGAGCTCAATCGCTGGCTTTCAGTATTTATTTCTTTTCAACATTCGGTCACACTAGATCCGAGTGGGTTTTGTGCGCACGTTGTACGTAAAAAGTTTTATATTTCAATTATAATAGCTTAAATCATATTACTAATATAAAAAAAGTGCAACAAGATCTTCTAAAACGCGATACCTATTAAATTCCAACTTATTTGGGTTACTTATTTAATTTTGTATGTGCTTGCGAAATGATTTTTGTGTCGACGTCACCTTTGGAGCCCCGCTCCCGCTCTCTTATTCGCGTTTAGTCTTCTGCTCTCATTCTCTCCTAGTGAAGTGAAATAATGAATTTGATTTTCAACTCAAGTTTAAATATTATTTTGATATCGTTTTATGAAAAAGAAAGTCAAATTTGAAAAAGCTGTGTTTTAATTTTATCCAAAATTGTAAATAACCCTTTCCGATTAGACTTTCTATCAGTTGTCGACGTATTTTGCTTCAGCTTTCTTTATATTACTTACATATGCATGTACACAACATCTACACCTACATATCCATCTACATCTACATATGCATCTACACATACATCTACAAAAACATATACATATTTATGTTTTGTATGTAATTATTTTTTAGTGTATTCATCGCCAACCACGTTAAAAGGAAGAACGTGAATGTGAATACAAAAAAGGCAACACAATCACAAAACTGAAACTTAAATTGAAAACAACAATTTTCGTTACATTTCCACTTCTGGCAGTGCAAGTGAATAGTCTACAAAGGCAAATAAAGGAGCACAGGCCACAGACCCGTTCTTTTGATTCCCAATTTGCACAAAGGACCGTAAATAAATAGCAATAAATACGCAAAATGTCTGGCGAAGAAACGTCTGCTGATCGCAATGTCGAAATATGGAAAATAAAGAAGCTCATCAAAAGCCTAGAGATGGCACGTGGGTAAGTAAGCCTGCCTATATAGTACGTAGTTATCATATTTTGTCAACTGGAATTTGTTATTTTTTCTGTTGATGTATGTTGGTACATACGAAAGTATTGGGTTAGGGGGGCAGAGGCTAGCCTTGCAGCGCGCCGTCGCTGTACACCGAAAAGGAGTGGAGTGAGTCGAATATCCGATTGTTATTTTGGACTCACCCCATGTTGTGGGCCGTCAATTGGCGATGAAAGTGCGAAAAAAAAAAGGGAGTGGGTCATCAAAGAGTATAAATTATCTTGCAGCTGATTTACTTTAGGTATTGCAGCTCCTTACGTAGCAATGTGATCAATATCTTGTTTGAATTGGTTAGAAATAGTAATGTTTTGGATCAAACCACTTTGATTCAGATGCGTGGCTGGCATTGGTAACAAACAAAAGCCCCATTGCTCTGTGTGGCGTTGCCCCACACAATCACCTACACAAGCACACAAACACGCATTGCTCAAACGGCTCTCAGCGATTGGAGTGTGTTATTGGCGCTCTTTCGCGCTCTTATTTTTGCAAAAATACATTGTGGGGAGAGCAACACGTTTTTGTCAGGTTTTTATCAGTTCAAACCAGACAGTCTGAGGCAACAAAGCATTCGAGTTGTGAGTAATGCGTGGAGCTAATGCTAATGCTAATGCCTTGCTGGCACCAAAATTAAACAATGCTTTTATTTGGTAAGAAATGCACTCGTTTGCATATTGAATTTAGCAATGAAACGTTGCATTAACAATTTATCTGCATTAATATACAGATGGTATACTCTCTGTCTCTATCTCTCTCTTCTGTTAAAATATTCATGATTCGGCTTACTATAAAAAGGTCAAATTTGTATTTGCAAACCATAACAAATCAATCTTGCGAGGTGCTGCAATTTGACATTCACAACGAGTGCTAGCCACCTGAAGCGACGGCATTGTGCCAGGTAGAGATGTCACACGAAAAAATATCGTATGCACTTGATCTGCATATCGATAGCTTAAAGTGTGATTGTGTTCGAATTGGTAGAGTTTGTTAACTGTGGGGAGGGTACGCAGATAGTGATCGTATTTGATTTATATATGTTGATAACAGCTGATACTACTGGCGACGTTTTCTCCCATTGCTCTTAAATATTTCTTTTCACTCATTACAAGTGGTTTGTAATCGATCTTTTCGGAAAAGTAACGTAATATTTGTAATGTTTTTATGGATTCTTTTTTTTTATTTTTCTTTTAAATATAAATTTGAAATTAACTTTTGTAGCTTTATATATTAAATGCATTTTTTTATATTTTCTTTGCAGAAATGGCACCAGCATGATTTCATTGATTATTCCGCCTAAAGATCAAATCTCTCGCGTCAGCAAAATGTTGGCCGATGAATTTGGTACGGCCTCTAACATCAAGTCGCGTGTCAATCGCCTTTCCGTCCTGGGCGCAATCACGTCGGTGCAGCACAGACTTAAGTTATACACCAAAGGTAAGTTGTTGATTCTATCTAGTATTAATATCAGTCAATTAATGATTAATGCTTTCTCTTGTAGTGCCTCCCAATGGTTTAGTCATTTATTGCGGCACAATTGTCACAGAGGAGGGCAAAGAGAAGAAAGTGAACATTGATTTTGAGCCATTCAAGCCCATTAATACCTCATTATATCTGTGTGACAACAAGTTCCATACGGAGGCACTCACTGCCCTGCTTGCCGACGACAACAAGTTCGGCTTCATTGTGATGGATGGTAACGGAGCTCTCTTTGGCACCCTGCAGGGAAATACGCGCGAGGTGCTTCACAAATTCACTGTCGATCTGCCGAAGAAGCACGGGCGTGGTGGTCAGTCTGCACTTCGTTTCGCCCGTCTGCGTATGGAGAAGCGGCACAATTATGTGCGCAAGGTGGCCGAGGTTGCCACTCAGCTGTTCATTACGAATGACAAGCCAAACATTGCTGGCCTCATTTTGGCTGGTAGTGCGGACTTCAAAACTGAGCTCAGCCAATCGGACATGTTTGATCCTGTAAGTAATCCAACACTGCTCAAGCATAGCTAGATCCCAAGGGCTACTTCCACTGGCCTCACCGACCGACACACAGTTAAATGCGTCTAGCAAAGTTTACGTAAGCTCAATCGCTATAGCTCTCAAATCGTCAGTCATGCAGCCAGTGGAGCCCAATTGTTATCCTGAATGATCAACAGAAACGTATGCAATACTATACAGCATATGTTTTTCATGTAAACTAATATATTTTTCTACAATTACAGCGTTTACAATCAAAAGTGATTAAGCTGGTGGACGTGTCCTATGGTGGCGAGAACGGTTTCAATCAGGCGATCGAATTAGCCGCTGAATCGTTGCAGAATGTCAAATTCATACAGGAAAAGAAACTCATTGGTCGTTACTTTGATGAAATTTCTCAAGTAAGTAAATAATAATAAAAAAAAAAAAAAAAAAAAAGAAAACTTATTAATATTAATCATAATGTTTATATTAAGGATACTGGCAAATACTGTTTCGGTGTTGAAGATACTTTGCGAGCATTGGAGCTGGGGTCTGTGGAAACCTTGATTTGCTGGGAAAATCTGGATATACAACGCTACGTACTGAAGAATCATGCGAACTCGACGTCAACGACAGTATTACATTTGACGCCCGAGCAGGAAAAAGATAAGTCTCACTTCACGGACAAGGAGGTGCGCAGATTAAAAATTGTATATTTAAAAAAAAAAAAAAAACTAATTGAAACTAAATTGTTACAGAGCGGAGTTGAAATGGAGTTAATTGAGTCTCAACCGCTTCTGGAATGGCTGGCGAACAATTATAAAATGTTTGGAGCCACCCTTGAGATAATTACGGACAAATCTCAGGAGGGCAGCCAGTTTGTGCGAGGTTTCGGTGGCATTGGCGGTAAGTAGTTGGCAAACAGCCTCTGGTTTATATATTTTTTAAATATCTGTATATAGTGCGAGTGTAAGCTAAACAATTAATTACGTATCTATTGTTTCCACTCCTCTTCCTTCATGCTGCTTTTAAACATAACTCTAAATGTAACTTGAACAACTTGACGACGCTCTTGTGCATAACCATCAAACTTTACTTGTTTTAATATACACACATATATATATACTTATATTTATGTATATATTTGTTATTTAAAATAATGTAATCTATAGGCATATTGCGCTATAAAGTAGACTTTCAATCGCTACAGGCTGATGAGCCACTGGAGGACGTTGATCTAGATGATTATTAAGAAAAGGAAAGAAAGAAAAATGAAAAGATATTAAATGAAATGAGAAAAAGAAAGCATTCGCACTGCATAGATTTTCGGATCTCAATACACACGAAATACTTTATTTGATTTCTTCTAAAACGCCATAAATTGTTCAAAACTTGATAGGAACCAATTTACTCGACGCATAGTTTTTAACAAATGATTCAAAACAAACACATTAATTGATATCCCTTCGCGTAATTCGATGTGGCCCATAAAATCAATATACATATTGAAATTATCCTTAGATTTATCTTTCATTTAAGCCTTCGGTTCGAACAAATTTTAATTTGATTGATTCCGGCATTTATTGGAATAGTCACATGTTTGTGTATTACATTAAATCTGAAATAGAAAAGTAAATATTCAAATTAGTTGAGCTCTTGCCGTGACACATAAAATAGATAAAGAATCCAGGCCATAAATCTTTACAAATATATGTACATGCGAGTATAGCAGGAATAATACTTGATTTACTCGTATTTAACACATTCGCGCGACTGTTAGAAATCTCGATATATATTTTTAAGCCATAGCGCAACTTGGCGAAATCATTTAAATTGTTTAATGAGTCTCGTTCAAATAGGTCCACTAGAAAACGTGGCATTATGCAGATATATACTCGTATTTGAGAAGCATTTAAAGTATTTACATAGGCAACTTCGTTGTTTCCATTTGACACAAGTTAAACGCGTAAAATTCTAATAACATAAAACCAAAAGCAACACACAGAAATAAAAACAATAATTGAAAATACAAAACCTGAATAAGCGTAAATAAATAAAAAATAGACACCTCCCGACAACGTAAAAAAAATAACTGCTTATAAATTACTATCGAAATTGTTTATGCATAAATTTGGAAGTTCCATCAGTCCCGACTTCATGATGCCGCTGATGAGCTCTACCCTTAACCACTGGAACTGGAATACCAAAGAATCTCTTTATATCCTAATTTATATTCAAGTCATTCACTCTTCTATTCCAAACTGTTTGCAAAGCACTTTGCTGATTTTGTATTTTAATTGAAATTTTGCTGTTGGGTTTCATTCTGTCAAGCTAATTTTTATTTAATTTCATTCTTACGCAAAGAATTTATGAACAATATTTGTCGAAATATTTATAAAAAATACTTGAATATACTAAACCGTTTATTAATATTATATTTCTGTCTAACAATGTGTTGTGCTATTATTTAGATTTATTTTCGCTTATTTTGTTGCACTTTCGCTTTTATCCTTTCAATTACAATGTGTTCTGTGCTCATTTGATTTATTTGATCTCTTTGCTAATTTTTATTTGATAATACAATATTTAATATGTTGCTAATGCTTCCCACAGGTATCTTGCGCTACAAAGTGGATTTCCAGAGTATGCAGCTCGATGAATTGGACAACGACTGCTTCGACTTAGATGACTACTAGAAAATTTCACACTGTTTTAATCAATTAATGAGACCGCAAATTGAATTCTGTTGATTTATAAAAGAAAGAAAACAATCGAAAACAATATAAAATAGAATATTTTAATAATACGAAAAGAACACACAAACACATACACACACACAATCCTTCTTCCATTTAACGTTGTTGGCGAATAAACGTAAAATTGCAAATAATACAAATACCATAAATTAAAAAAAGAACAAAGATAAAATGTTAAATCAAGAGAAACCATATATAAAAAAGAAACCGTTTTACTTGAAGCATCAAATTTGTATTATAATTTTTTCTTTATTTTTTATTGTTTTGGGTAAAGTATTGTCAGATTATAAACAGATTTCTAATTAAATATGCATTTCAGCACTGTCAGAGCTCGCCCAGACGTTCGATTTCATCCAATATTATATCCAACTCTGCAGCTTCGAGCACAGGGAAGCAAGTGAACACCATACGGAAGAAGTTGCCCAACTGGCGGCTACTTAGCGGTGAATACCCGATCATCAATGTGCCACTATATGCCATTTGTTCCTTGACTTTCGGTGCAACCTATTGGAAGAGATGTTAACAAAAATTCGATCGCATCTGGCAACTCATACTTACGGTATACAGACGCGCCCACCAATCTTCATTCTCCTCAGAGCTGGGCACTCGCATCGCTTTCGGAATGTACCAAAAGCAAACATTGGAGTATTCATGTTGATCGAGGACAAGTCTGAATCGATCAGGACGTGCGCGCAGCTTCTGCTCGAGTAAGCGTGCCATTTCAATGGCATGATCAACCAAGTGTCCATACAGCCCGTAACCACGTGCCTTAAGCATTAGCCAAAACTTGAAGGCATCGATTTTACGGCCACACTGAATGCTCTTGTTGCCGGTGTCGTAAGTAACATCATAGAACTTATCCTGCTGGAAAAGGTAGTTGACCTCAATGCTGTTGCAGCGTGCTAGCAAGTCCGATTCGTTGGTAAGGAATAAGGAGCATTGCAACGGAACGCCAAGTGTCTTGTGTGGATTCCAGGCAAAGGAGTTGGCGCGTTGTAGGCCCTTCAGCAGTAAGCGATTCTTGTAGGCGAGCAATACAGCACCGCCTAGACAGGCGTCCACATGCATCCAGAGGCCGTAACGTTGTGCCACATCAGCAATGCCGTCCAAGTCATCAAAGGCGCCCAGCACAGTTGTGCCTGCTGTTGCATTGATAAAGAATGGATCAAGTCCGGACTCCTTGGCTGCTTTAATCTTGTCCTCTAGATCGTCTAATGCCATTTGTCCTTTAGCATTGGTGCGCACAGCTATGCAATTGTCGGCCCCAATACCCAACCAGTGGGCAGCCTTTTTCAGGCTGTAGTGCGAATCCTCGGACGTAAAAATCACTAGAGGTCGAATACCAAACATGCCCGAAGACTTCACTGATGGAATGCGTTTATAACGGGCCAGAACCAGGCCGTACATATTCGATGCGGACCCCCCAGGCGCGAAAATTCCATCGCCATGACTATAACCGGCTAATCTACAAACCGCTGATATGACCTCAGTCTCGACCAGGCTAAAGACTGGTGCAACTTCAAAAGTATAACTAGAAAAGCAGCCATTTAAAATATCTTAAGGTTATATATATGTTTGACATATTACGAGCTCGTGTTCAATGCCTCAGTCAGCCAGGAGCCAGCCAATCCAAAGGGATCCATTTGACCAAATAGTTGATTGTGGAAGCGTCCATGGGAAGATTTTACAGAATATTTAATTACCTGTTGACAGATCTCTTCAATGTCGGATAGTGTGGATGTTTCCTTTTCCTTAATAGTCAGATTAATATGTTTCTATGGAATATACATACATATAAATATATAATGTATTACTTTGTAATGATAGAGAAGACGTTTCATGGTTGAATATGTGCATATAAAGATTAAAACAGCAAATCATTAAAATGATCAAGCAACTGCATAGTGAACTCTTTCAATGATGAGTATAAAAGTCGCTTATCGGGAACTGTCTCGGCTACTTTGACGAGGCGGAAGTCTAGACCTCGGATAGGAAGGACGGGGGCACTCACCTTCAGCTCGTCTGGCTGCATAAAATCGACTATTTTCTGTTGCTGCCATTGTTGTGGATCGGCACAGATAGTCTCCTCCTGCTGCACCAACTTGAAAACATTCTGTAGAATCCTCCAATCGTCCATTAACCTCACGCGAACGTCATCGACAATAGAGGCAGTAGTCTCACTTTCGCCATCCATTTCACTATATTTCCGATCGAACCTTCGCCAACCGCTACTCAACTGGGAATGAGAACTGATTGGCCGTATCGCTGCATTGGAACTCAGTTCGAGCTGAATGCTTGTTAGAGTTGTAAATTAATTAACCATAGTACATACACGGATCAATATACATATGTGTATATACATAGGCACCTACAGACGTATATATGTATGTACAGTTGGCCTGTGTTCGTGCCGGTATGCCACAACATTAGGGTGAACCTTTTCTTAAGTACCTAGTGTTTGTGGCTAAAAATAAGATTATAGAATCTACCTATTCTACGCTGGTTTGTTGATTATATCTTATCGAAATCAGCTTTACAATCGCGTTTGGTTAGTTTGCTCACGTATATTATACCTGCAATTTTGAATCAAGCACTTTTCACACTTATCGTGCTCAAAGCAAGTTTAGTGTTGAATGACTAGTAATTATCAATTTATTTATTACAATATGCAAGTAAAATGCGCATACTTGTTTTTTCTATTGCATAATTTAACCGGTATCAAATTTAGGTAAACACGATTGGTAGCTTAGTGAACATGTGAAAATCTTGAGTTATATTTCACTATATGCTAAACTTAAACTTTAAAAAATGCGCCCATGTATTTTGATAAAAAAAATTGTGTGACCCAATTATCTTCATTATAAAAACTGGTAATCGATTACAGTGCGATTAATATTATGTTCAAAATAACTGTTATCGCCTAGCAACAAGTTCACTGACTGTTCACTTGTGGAACTACATATCATATGGTTTAAGGGCAGCGGAACTAGCAGTTGGAGAATTATTTACATCTCTCGTTTTGTTTAAATCATTTAAAAATTACGAATAAAGTGGAAACATGGGTCGCGCTGAAGTTGGTACGCCCAAGTACTTGGCCAACAAGATGAAGGCCAAGGGCTTGCAGAAGCTGCGCTGGTATTGTCAGATGTGTGAGAAACAGTGCCGCGATGAAAATGGCTTTAAATGCCATACAATGAGCGAGTCGCATCAGCGCCAGCTGCTTCTCTTTGCGGATTCGCCTGGCAAGTTTCTGCACAACTTTTCCAAGGAGTTCTCCGATGGCTATATGGAACTGTTGCGTCGTCGCTTTGGCACCAAGCGCACGAACGCTAATAAAGTATATCAGGAGTACATTGCACACAAGGAGCACATTCACATGAATGCCACTCGCTGGCTGACGCTCTCTGACTATGTCAAGTGGCTTGGACGCACTGGACAAGTGGTGGCTGATGAAACGGAAAAAGGATGGTTTGTCACCTACATTGATCGCAGTCCGGAGGCTATGGAACGCCAAGCGAAAGCCGAACGCAAGGAGAAAATGGAAAAGGATGACGAAGAGCGTATGACCGAGTTTATTGAAAAACAAATTAAGAAGGCAAAGTCCAAAGAAGGCGAGGATGATGAAGCGCAAGAGAAGTACACCGAACTGAAACGTGAAGAGGAACAACCCCTAAAGCTGGATATAAGATTAGAAAAAAAGTTTCAGCCGGAGTCGATACTGGGTAAATCAGCGTTGCTCACAAAACGACCAGCCGACCAGCCAGATGAAAAAGTCTTTAAAAGACCCAAGCCAGTTCCGGTCGAGTCTAGCAGGTCAGCGCTAGATGAGATCATAAAACAGGAGGAGATGAAGAAGGAACGTGCAAATCGCAAGGATTACTGGCTCCACCCGAATATAGTAGTTAAATTCATCTCTAGCTCCATGGGCGATAAGTTCTACAAACAGAAGGCTGTGGTCCAGGAAGTTATTGATAAATATCGTGCAAAAATTAAATTCTTGGACAGCGGGGAAAAGTGTAAAGTTGATCAGGTAATTACCCAAACGTTCTAAAGCTTATACCATATACTTTATTAATAACATTTTCTATTGCCAGGCTCATCTGGAGACCGTGATACCTGCCTTGGGAAAAGAAGTGCTTGTAGTAAACGGCGCCTACAGAGGATCAGAAGCTCTGCTAAAAAAGCTAAATGAAAGCAAATATTGTGTTACCATAGAGATATTGCACGGTCCACTAAAAGGACGAATTGTAGAGAACGTGCAGTACGAAGATATTTGTAAAATACATGGCACGTAGTAGTAGTAAAGAGATAAAGTTAATTTTTTAGGCTTAGATTTAATTTTATACACTCGATGTTTTATTGTTCACATAATATAAGAAATGTAGAATAGTTTCATCTCAAAGTGAGTATACTGTGAAAAAATAATTCACGTTCTCTTCATGGTGCGCATTAAAGTTAATCCGAATGGCGAAACAAATCGGATGGATTGCTTTTAATTGCTTCTAATTTTAGCGAGACAGTTAAGAAACACGTCTATTGTGAGTAGGAGCTCTCTTCGCTGGGATATGCAAAGAATCTATTTTTCTGTAGCTATTTTCTGCTTATGTGTCAGCGGAATATATGCAAGTTCAATATTCCATTGGGTGAGCACACAAGTTGGGAAAGGAATTAATATGGTTTTTAATAGAGGAATTATTTCTAAAGAATGGACTGAATTAATTAGTAATCAATGTGAGTATGAACGACAGTAAACTCCCAAATCTGCATATATCAATTAATTCACAGGCATCAAGTTTGCAGAGACTTTCAACGTTCCCAAACCCAGATCTGCGAATTTGACAAAGCTAAAATTTGATTATATAACACCGTGTTGCAACTATGCAGTGCCTATATCGGAAGCCGAAACTCTCTGGGAGAATGCAATATTTAATCTGAATACAAAAATAGTTTTTGTCGCTACTGGATGGTTGACAAATTCCAGGTTTTCATTTTCCAGGGACGTTTTACAAAGGGCTTACATGTGTCGCCCCGATATAAATTTCGTGGTATACTTCAAGGCATGCACATCCTATCTATACATACTATATATATTTCTCTTAAGGTTGTAGATACATCGGGCTACCTAGATATGCTCTATATGTGGTCTGTGCAGAACACCGATATTATTGGGGACTACATTAGCATCGGCTTAAAGAAACTGACAGATGCCAATCCATCAGCCGAGATTCATCTTATCGGTTCGCATAGATCAATAACTAACTAGAAACTGTATTTATATAATTATTAACGATCTAATTTTGTAGGTCACTCACTGGGTGCACATATTATGGCGTTCGCTGCACGACAGTATCAAAATTTAACAGGGCGAGTGGTGGATCGTCTAACAGGTTTGGATCCGGCCAAGCCTTGCTTTACAGCCAGAGCCCGTAGTGATGCCTTAGCCAATGATATTGCCCGGTTCGTAGATGTCATACACACAAATCCTGGTTTATTGGGAGAGGATTCGCCAGTTGGTCATGCCGATTTCTATCCAGGTGGTGATGATCCAGTTCAAAACGGATGCATATTCCTCGAATGCTCACATAGTCGAGCAGTTGAGTACTTTGCCGAGAGTGTTTATCCAGACCAGGAGCGGAACTTCCTCGCTTCCAAATGTGATTCAATGAAAGATGTGCATGCTAAAGCTTGCCAGTCTCCCCACTCAGTAATGGGCTATGAAGTTGATAAGAAGGCCAGAGGTATTTACTATCTGGAAGTAAATAGTAATTCACCATTTGGCAAGAATTCAATTATAGATTCGGACGATGTAAATAAAGAATGCAAGTGCCGTGGTGTAATGTGTCAATTTTAAATGATTTTAGAAGATTCTGAATAAACAATGACACCCTTAGGCATAATCTGTATAATTTCAATACTCTTACACTTGCTCCCACTCGAAATCCTACTGTCTAAAAGTTGAATGTACCTTAAATTCGACACAGCTGCTGGCATTGACATTAATCTGGATTGGTATTTGGGTTAAATCAACTATAAGTGTAAAGAACATATGTTTTATGACCCAATTTTATCTACTCGCGGGGGATATTGAGTTCTTAATATCGTTTGTATTAATTTAGGTATATATTTTGATGACTAATTTTGCAAGGGTATACATGCTTCGGCTCAAATTCATTTAATTTTTGCAATAATACAAAGAAAAAAATTTTCGCAATAATTTTGCCACTAACTAACTAAAAACTTTACGCAAAATTAGTTTTTTGCGGACTTCATATGCTGCAAAATGCGATCCCTGCTCTTTAGATTTACAATTTTGTGTATTATAGTCATCAGCAGCATGGAGCCTGCTGAACAATCGAATAACTTAACTCTAAGCTGGTGGCCGAGTGTCTCTGACAAACTCCTGGATATCCTAACCATGAAAATGAATATATTCACATCGTTTCCATTGGAGTTGGCTGCCACTGTTATTGACAGTCTGTGTAAGTTGATGGGCTAATTAAGCTATTGGCTGTCATTTAGCAACACATCCGCCTCTACTCTCAGTATCCCATCTCAACGCTTGACAGGCTCCTCCACTTTGTTTATGGGAGGCGTACCAGCACAAATTCAGCCGGATATAACGAAAATGCACTTTCAGTACATGACACCGTGTCTGAACTATAGTGTTCCTTTGCTGAAAGCTGACAAGCTTTGGAATCATCCGCAATTTCGTCGCAATCGTAAATTGGTTATATTAGCTACGGGCTGGACAAATACGGTTAACGCTTCAGCTACTATTGCGATGATATCGAGGGCTTTTATGTACAGACCTCGCGTGAATTTTGTGGTAAATAATAAAATGTTAATTCAAGTGGATATACTAATATATAATAAATATACTTGCAGATTGTAGATGCGGCTTACTATGTGGACACCTTGTACAAGTGGTCGGCCCTGAATACTGATCTCATTGGCGAGCATATAGCTGTTGGTTTACAGCATTTGATTAAAGTCTCCCCGTTGATTGATATTCATTTAATAGGTAAGTTTCACATTGAATTGTTGGGCTATTAGATATCAGGCAGAAGTTTTCTAGGTCATTCATTGGGCGCACACATCATGGGCACCGCTGGGCGGACATTCAAACAACTGACGGGATATCGCGTGTCTCGTATTACAGCTCTGGATCCTGCCAAGCCATGCTTTCGCAATGAAAAGTCGCTTCCCGGTCTAATGCGAGGCGATGCTGAATTAGTAGATGTGATACATACAAATAATGGTATTCTGGCTAAACGAGATCCAATCGGTGACATAGACTTCTATCCCGGTGGTGTTCATCCTATAAAGCCTGGCTGTCTGACCATCGGCTGCTCTCACACGCGAGCAGTTGAGTATTTTGCAGAGAGTGTCTATCCGCAGCAGGAGCGCAGCTTTGTGGGTACTCGATGCAGCTCCTGGAAGATGCTTGAATGGCACAGGTGCAAATCTGACATAACTTCAACCATGGGCTACTTGATAAACAGAAAGGCCAATGGCGTTTTCTACGTGGATGTGAATGGCCGAAGTCCCTTTGGGAAGAACTACAATGTACCAAGGAAAGGTATCGCTGACTGCGCTAAAACCAGTTGCATTTCTAAATTACTGAGTAAATTGCAAAAGTCTTAGTATTTTAACAATTGTTAAATATATGTTACATTTCAGTTTAAAATCAAGCTGTCTTCCTAAAGATTTTTTTACTGTATCCAACCTTTGTCATATTGCAGCTTGATTTTGTATCAACTTTCCTTCCTTCGCCGTGTATTCAAATCCATTGATTACTTATAAATAGCTTTATTTAGTATTTATTCTATTATTTCTGTAAGATCTAGATCATCATCGAAGGCCTCTGCAATGCCTTTCTGGCTCTGGTAGACTTTCTCTTGGGTTTCAGCTATCCTCCACAGTTCGTCGTCATCGTCGCCAGTCAACATGGATCTGTTGGCTCCTCCCTTGATTGCGGTTCTAAGTTTATTGTTTGCTGGAGCAGGTCCCGGTGCACGTTTCTGTCGATTGCCCATCAAGATTTGGCTCTCCTCGAAATATTTGTTTGGATGATTAATTGTGGGCTCCACTGTGGAATTGTGTGTAAGCATGAAGTATTTTCCGCAAGCGAATTGATAATGATTGCGGGACACGAAATGCATCACCTCATCAATCCCACCCGCTGAGAGGCCATACGCAGAGAGCTTGGCTTTCAGCGAGGTTGGATCCATTGTTTTGTATGGACAACCGTGGCAATCACCCGGAGCGGCCATCTCCTTGATGATCTTCAGGCAGGAGTAAGGCGTGTAATTGACCATTGATCCCTTCTTGCCATAGTTGTGATAAATGTTGTACTCGTAGCTACGCGTAAACTTGTCCACGTCCATTTTCTTGGTGAACTCTTCCCGCCAAAATCGTAACGAATCCTCAAGCGTCACACCAATGCCCTTCAAGAAGAGGCCGTACTGCATGCGTCCGCCGTGCTTAATGTGGTGCTGACTGCGTATGTGCTCGTGGCACATACGCATACACAACGGCATGGATGTCTTGGATAACTGGTCCAGAGACTCAATAGGCACAGACTCATCTCTGCACACTGTGTAGTCCTTGCCCGTATACGAGTTATGCAGTGATTTAATCATGCGAGCAATGCGCTCGTCTGCTTCGACATCAGCAATAAAAGCCTTAGCTGCCTGCATGCCAAGCTCTATTTCCTCCAGTTGCTTGGCGCCGACAATAGACACCATATCATGTGTGTTAACATAGGCAAATCCCGCTTTGATATAACAACGCCTAGTACGCACCAAATCCAAGACTTGTGTGAAGGGCACTTTGTAGAACTCCAATAGTTCGATTTTTGACACACTCTGACCCACTGTGCTCTCATAGAGGCCGTCCTTGACCTCGTCCTTCTGCTCCTCTGTCAATGGGTGAATTTGAAAATTGTTGGCATCCAGAAACATCTTGATTTCAGCTGTGCTAAGTGCGGCGAATTTGTATTTGAAGAACTCCATTTCGCGTGCGACGAACCAGCGTTGCAGATCTTCCGAGCGGCAATAGGCTAAGCGTAGTATGAAGTGCGACAAATAGTCACGCCGACGCATTTGTACATCAGCTTCGTGTTTTGTACCACTGCTGGGCATGCCCATGCGCAGGTATCCGCGGAGTCCGTCTCTGGTCATTTCGGCATTCACGTATTCCTTCCAGTCGTCCGAAAATATACGCAATCCCTTTGTCGTGGCGCGATCGAAAACTCGCAGCAGGCGTAGTCGCTCCAAGGCGAGGTCCTCGAATTCATCAATGTGAATATCCTCTGTTGGCGGATAATGGTAGAGCATCACATTGTGTGGATATTTAGCTTCCAGGCTAATCACTTCAACTTTTACATCTTGTCGTGCGCGTTTCTTTAAATTAAAATCCATGTTGCCAAACAATATCAAATTGCGATTTACTAAAATGGCGCCAAAACCATTTAACAGCTGTCACAATTATATCGATATATATGGAACAAACATGCCTGGTATACTCATCACATATCGATTACGGAAAATTATCGATGGTATTTTTAAATTTTATTAGATTTTGCGTATTGTTAGTAACGATAAGTGTAAGTTGCAAAAATCATTAATCATTCATTAAATCTAATCTATTTTAATGCTTATACTTAAAATATACTAAAGTCAAGTGGATTTCATATTTTTCATAAAATTAATTAGTGTGTATATCAGGTACTTAATAAACAGACTAGAATATTTGTGTATATTAAAATCTAAACAGCGCTTAGACTCTGGAATCTTTTGTGCCAATGCCAATAGACTCCAAAGACTTTCTTAGACGTTTCCAAAACAATTTCCGTTCTTCCAATGATGGCTGTTTGTTTCCTTTACTCGGCCATTTAATGTAGGTCTTTATATCCATTAGGTACTGTAGAGTTTTCGGTCGTTTACTACGCGGTATGTCTTCCAGAAATACGAGTATCAAATGCTCTTTACTCATTTCAAAGATACTGTTTGGAATAGAATGAAATTGAATTGTGAATGTATGTTTATATTTGTGTTGAGCTTCCTTTTTTTTTTTAATTCTTACCGGTGTTGAGCCAGATACATTTCGAATTGACACCAATGACTGAGTAAAAACTTTGATGATATAAGTAGCATAAGAGAGCGCGAACGATCCATGCTCGAAATAATATTATCCAATATAGTCACTCCGATCTGTAAGCAATATAATAGAACTAGATCATGCCCCATTAGGGTTGAGGACATTTTGAACAAACCTGAAAATCACGTTCATGCAGACATATTGAAATATCACCAGATTTCTCCACATTTGGGAGCAGCTCATCCAAAAGCCATTGTCGATCGTTTTGGCAATAGCTAATGAATATATCATATATAACACTCGGGTCACTTTCAGCTAGATGTCGGATCCTATCTTTAGCTGCAGTAGATAAAAGCGCAGCTGACTTAAGTGAGGCATAATAGTAGTGAATGTGCCAACGCTTCAGGTATATTACAAATCCCAGAATGAACATGAAGAGAAGGCTGCCAACTGTAGCTGTGATGATCTTCATTGCATTATGAAGCTCCCTCTCGAGGATAATTAAGTTGCGACTCTGGCAAACTAATTCATCCACCTGCAACTTTTCCGTCTCATTGAAGCACCAATAGTTCTTTGCATCATAGTCCAGTAATTGAAATTTCAGTCTCGTATCATTCACAGTGGTCGGCCTTGAGTGAGGGCATTGACTACTACTCATATTATTTGAAACAAAATGCAGTTTGACGATATTCTTGAGGCGTTTGAAGTCCTTAATGTTCTTATAGCTGTCGTTAAGCAACGGAATATATTTTCGATTCCACAGCTGCCGTTCAATATGTTTGTTCAGGATATTACTCAATCGACTCAGGTTGCTGTCATTGATCTGGAAAATTAGCTCAGCCGCTGCGTTTTGTAAATAGTCAATGGAGCAGCTGGCTTCTTTGTTATTATTAGCAGCTACCTCAACGATCTCCCGCAGATTGCAATTACAGAGGAAGTTATTGCTGCCTAAGCTCAAATATTCCAATAGCTCGAAATCCTTTAACATCTCCGTGGTCAACATGTTGACATTGTTGCTGCGCAAATTGAGAACTCTCAGTTGTTTGTTATGGGAGAAGACACTCTTATACCAATTGCCAATGTGGTTGTAGCTCAGGTCAAGCTGTTTCAGACTAACCAGAGGCTTGAATATATCAACGTCGAGGGCATTTATATTGTTCCCCGCTAGGGACAATAATTGCAATTTATTCAGGGGTTTCAACCAGTCAAGGTCCTTGAGATTGGAGTGCTCAAAGGATAGAAATTTCAGTGTTTCGCTTGTGCTATCGAAGGCATCGTCCAAAATATTATACGAAACAAATGGATTGCCGGATAAATCGAGGCCCTCCAGAATTGTATTCTTAAACAAGCCGTTGCTCATCATGGGAAACGAAGTGTAGCATAAACTAAGATACTTCAGCTTATCGCCAAGATATGTAAAGGCAACGGCACTATTTCTCGTAATTTTCGAGTGCGACAGATCCAAGTAAATTAGATCCGGCAAATACTTGAACGCTGCTTGATGTATCTTTAGTCCATATACTAGATTTAAGATCATCTCAAGTGTTGGCATCGAGAACTGATAATTGTAGTTCAAGACATTTGTAAATGACAGATCTAAATATTGTAGTTTAGGTATATAGTAAAAGGTATCAAAATCAATAGTCATTATTTTGTTGTTGGATATGAATAGCTTCCGCAGATTTTTTATATTCTTAAATGCCTCTCTGCTCACATACTCAATGCTGCAGTTGCTAATCTCGAGCTCCAACAAATTCGGCAGGCTCGGAAAAGTAGCCCAAGCAATACTTTGCTCTGAAAAGAATAAACAAGAAAATGAAATATATATTACAATTAGATACAATCTTGGGTTATACATTAATTAACTAATTGACTAAATGGATGCCTTACTTGACTTGCCGAATCTTTTGTGTTTTATTTTAATTTTCCGAATGTACTCCTCATATATAATATCTTGTGTATTTATTTGAGAGTCAATTTTTTTATTGTTTTGATGGTATGATGAGCATTCCCGATCATAAAGATCATAATTATTATTATTATTGTCGGCTAAAACCTCACAATTGATTTGTGTGCCATTGTYTGGGTTGGTGTTTAGTGTTTCATGTAAAAATTGCTCAATTGCTGAAATGTAACAAAGTTCCTACAGATAACTGTGTGTTTTTCAATACTCTTTGTGGTCGGTGAAATATATAACCAACTTCATCTACTTACCTTCCACATCGTGGTTGAGAGCTGCAAATTGGTTACCTTGTAGGGATAGATATTTTAATGATTTACTCATTGTGTTCAAAGTTTGGAATGGTACTGCATTTAGTGAATTGTAAGCAGCTGAGAAAACTTCGACTTTTTGAAGTCTATATCTATGAGCGAATCTCGTTTTATTTAGCAATTCTTCGTCATCTGAGATATTGCCAAATGAAAGATCTAAATGCATATTGGTAGCTGCAAAAAAAAAAAATTGAGAATTATTTTCAGATTTTATAATAACAGATAATATATTAAATGTGTTGTTAAAGAACATCCGTTCAAATTTTGTAATAAATTTAATTTGAAATAATTAAATGAAGCCAACAGCAATTAGAGATACTATCGATACTAAAGCAGCTTAGTATATACTATCGATGTACCGATGCCGTCAACAATTTATCGATTAATGAATAAATGTTTGCGTTCTCAATTCACGCTAGAAAACAAAACTTAAAATGGAAGAATTTTGTCGAATTTGCGCAAGAAACGATGTCAGCCTAGTAAATATATTCGATCAACGGGATCACCTGGAGATGGAGCCACCATTGATTGACATGCTGAGTGAATTGGTTACTTGTGAAATACAACTCAATGATCAATTGCCTCAGAACATTTGCCTCTCCTGCAGCTCAGCTGCCAGAAGTGCATTTCGTTTCAAGCGTTTGTGTGAACAAAGCTATGATTACTTTTGGCAGTTGCTGAGCGTCGAGAGTGACCCCAACTGCGATGAACAAAACACAGAGTTGCATTCTTCCATTGAGATTAAAGAGGAGCCTGCGGAATATGAGCAACAGAGTAGCAGCACGAACATTGAAAATAGTGAAATAATCACTGCAATGGATGAGGAGGCTGGAGAGGAGGAGAAAGACGAGCTAACTACCGAAAAAACGGATGAACAGAAGTCATTTGAGTGTCTGATATGCGGAGGAAATTATGCGTCTCAGGAGCTCTTAGACATTCATTCTCGTAACTGTAGCAGTACGAACATTGAAAATAGTGAAATAATCACTGCAATGGATGAGGAGGCTGGAGAGGAGGAGAAAGAGGAGCTAACTACCGAAAAAACGGAAGAACAGAAGTCATTTGAGTGTCTGATATGCGGAGGAAATTATGCGTCTCAGGAGTTCTTAGACATTCATACTCGTAACTGTAACCGAAAAACTTTTTCATGTACCTACTGCTCAAAGGTTTATTTTTCACATAGCAGTCTTATTATTCATACACGTCTACACACCGGCGAACGTCCGTTTAAGTGTTCCATTTGCGGAGAGGATTTCATAAGAAAAGATAATCTAACGAAGCATATATATTCACATACTGGTGAACTTCCATACGAATGTCCCCAGTGCTTAAAGCGCTTCAGTCATCGTAGCATTCTTAACAGGCATCTTCATATTCATGAGCGGGGCAAATCATATAAATGTGAATACTGCGGCGAGATCTTTGAAAAATACAACTATTTGCGAAGACATAAGGAAAAACACCCGGAATGTAGAAAGAGTGCCGGAGGTGATGTAATGAATGCTCCTATACTAAGTAAAGATCTGAACGCAGAGCAGGTCACATCCTCTGGCACAAGTTCAAAATCCTTCAAACCGAGTGATCCTTCAAACAGCGAGCTACATGACAAGGAAACTAGTTATAAGTGTCCAAGTTGTCCTCTAATCTTCCTCACTGAGATTGTTTTCAAAAAACATATGCAATCGCATTCCGATAAAAACGAGCGGCAACAGGAAATGGAGCAGATAGACATAGACGGACATACCCATGATAGTAGTCAAGACAGTTATCCAGTTCTTTTGACTGAGTTCGTACCCATAGAATCTTCTGAGAATTTAACCAACGAAAATCATGTTGAAGCAATTAGTTGCAATGTTAACTTAGATGAAAGTACAGAAATAACGGAGCATCCCGACGAAGATCAACCCAACTTTCCCAGAAAAGATAATATATATGCAACCAATTCTGATTGCGAAATGATTTCAAATACAAATTCAAAAAATCAAGTTCTTCTTACTGAACTTGTACCCATCGAATTCTCAGATCATGTGGGAATTACAAAAAGAAACAGGTTCCCCAAAGAAGATAAACCCAACTTCCTCAACAAAGGTAATAGTCAAGCAACAAATAAAGCTTGTAAAGTTAAATTAAATAAAATAAAAAAGAATAGAGTTCTTTTGACTGAACTCGGACCCATTGCATTCTCTGAGAAAGAAGACACACATTCTAATTGGAAAGATAAGTTAGCTAAAATTAGAGAGGTACGCAAGCTCACTGCTAAGAAAATTCATCAGTGTAAGCGGTGCGAAAAGAAGTTTCCTACCGGGTCTGCTTTAAGCAAACATTATCACATCCATGCCGAAGAACGTCCCTATAAGTGTACATTCTGTCGGAAAACATTTAAAAGAACTTCAAGTCTTCAAAGCCACATGACTGTCCATCAGTGCAAATATTGCGGGAAATCATTTAGAACAAACAAAAAACTATTGGGTCATGGGTGCCCAAAAGGTATTGATATGTCGTAGGCTTAAGTATTCACTGTAGAAATTAAGATGCAAAGTATGTAATTACAATCTATTATTAGTTAAAAATATATTTTGAAAAATTGTGTACCTTTTTATACATGTATTTTACTTATTTCTCATGTTCAATGGCTTTAGAAAATAAAAATATAAAACAGTCCCCGGATCACTGCATATCTCGATGTTCATCATGCAATTAGTTTCAAGGCGGAATATATTTGTGTAACTTTCTGATATGGTAGCAAACATTAAGTTTATATCAGTAAAAATGGATCAGAAATGTTCAAAATGCTTTCAATTAGCGAATGTGTAGAATTCTAGCGAGTTCTTTATTTAAGCACAACAATCCTCTTTCTCTCTTTCTATAGTTCTTACTCTCTCTCAGGCTTGTCAATATCTTAAATAGTATACGTACATGTATAATAATAAATAAAGCATGTTCATTCGTAGATTAGCTACCAATTTATAATTTTTAATCAGTGGCGTTTATTTTTGTGCTTACCGTACTTAGCACTTGTGGTCTTTAGAGTTCCATTAGGAAATGCCCACCATAGTATATCCTGTTTAATGTTATCCAAAAGACATGTATTCCCATCATCAGTGCCGTATTTGACAAATGCCGAGTTCAGATCTGTATCCTCAGTGGAATCTGTATTGGTCTCTGGGCCTTCCGTATTTTGGTGAGCATTTTCAAATGGCTTATTTAAATTTTCACTCAAATGTAAACTACTTTGAAGAGGAGTTTCAGGCACTACCTCCGCATCCTGAAAACTTGACTCCTTGATATTCCAATGAAGAAGAAGCACAATCAAACATGCTCTTAATACGATTGTCATTTTTGCGTTATTTCATCAAACTTTTATCGAAAGTATATATAGTTCTATGGTTTTCTAAATTTTCTCGGTTTCTTGCTATTAGTATATTGCCTTTCATTGAACTTTTTTTTGCTTAAACTCTTTTAGTTCAATATTTCTATTTATAACTTTCACTTATCTTGCTTCACATACTTCAAACAAATTTGACACATTCAGTTCGGTAACGCAGACTATTTTGCAATATTTCCGATCGATTGGCGACATAATACAGCACTCTAGAAAGCACAAGCGCGACTAATGGTCAGAAATGAATTGCTCTTTGGGCTTGCGAGTATGAATAATATTTATTATAACACGATAGGCCTTATCAATTTTGGCAATATATTCTTTTGCTTTTGAATGGGTTCCGGTTATCAGTTTAGCCGCATTATTATGTTAAAACACACTGCTCCTTCTCTCTCTCTCTCTCTCTCTCTCTCTCTTTCTGTCTCTCTTTCTAGCACTCCCACACCTCCAACATTGTGTAAATAATTGCGGAAAATAATAGGCATGATAGCCGCCGCCAATTCGATACTGAAGTAGGGCTAAGCACGCACTACTCTTCCTGTCAATAAAATACTCTCTTTTTATAAGAGAGCCGAGTTAAATATAGTCATAAATTAAATGGACTACTTTAAATTGAAGTAAATAATGCTCAATAATATAGATTATTGCGAATCTGATACGCTTATAGATATGGCCAGCATGATAAGCCTTTTTTTGTTTAGCTGGTAATGGCAAATGTAAGATTATAGTTAGCATTTGTATTTGCTTCATAGGCGATTTTTGATTTCATTTTGAACAACATTTAGTTACCCATCAGTATTATTAGCCAATTTAAAAATAAAGCAAGCTTGAATTTTAAATTTTCAAAAATAAAACGCTTTTCATTATCGATAAAAAAAATCCGTTATTTGTAATCGCTGCTGCCAGCAAAATGCTATGCTGCAAAGGATCTTTTGCTAATGTCAGCTAAGCATATTCACATAAATTATATTATAGATTTCCCAATTGCCTTAACCACAGCTTACACTATATTCCCATTTAAATATTTACTTATTTATTTAAGCACATGACATTATAGTAGGTCCAGTTTGCTTTTGTGCAACGCAACAGAAGAGCAGCGCGCACAGCTCTGGCGAATGCTCAGTGTGCGCCACCCACCACCCAACGCCCAAGACCCACCCTCCCAGATCACGATTTTTGAATTACAACTCACAGCAGACGACGCGTCGTCGCAATGCTCGTGCAGATTGTTTGCAATCTAAGTCCAACCACCCAAACCACCCCTTTTGGCTGCCACCTTCGTAGCTGGTTAAACAACCACCTTCTGTTTTCACTCACTCTCACTCGGCTGCTCTCTGTCTCCATCTCGCTCACTCTCACTCCCCTCTCTCTCTCTCTCTCTGTCAATCGTCCAGGACCCGCTGAACGGAGCCATCGGCTGGCTCGTGCTTATGCTCGTGCTCGTGCTCGGCATTTCGTTCGTTYGCTGTGTTTGTGCTTTGGTTGTTAGATTCGAGTCGCGTGGCTGTCAGTTTGCATGCGTCTCCGTTCGTGGGTGAAAGTCCACAATAGTAAGTCGCTGCGATTTGTGGCACTCAGCACTCAGTACTCGTGCAACGTGTTGTTAGCAGCGTGCCGTATCCGTCGGTCTTTGTGAGTCACCCACAGCGCCGCTAGACGCTAGAAAAATGCCGGGAAATATTGTTGTTTATATATGCGCTGTCCAGTGTTATGGTCAAGCGCCACTTGAAAATTGTTTTGTGGGAATTTGTGCGATTTTGTGAAAATTGAGTTGCCCAAACGCCGCTGTGAAATGCCAAAGGCAAACAAAGGCTCTTCAGATTGTCATGGCGTCTTTTCGGAACCGTAGACAAGCAAACAATACAGACCGAATCCAAACACAAGTGCGTCTCTAAATTAAGCCCCCTTCAAATGGGCACTTTGGCTACATAATAGACCTTTGTGTGAGTGCGTGTGTGCGTTTATGTGTGTGTGTGCGGACTATCAGCTAGATTGCAGCATGGATGCTCTAAAAGCAGGTAAATAGTAACAGTAAAGCACCAACTTTACCGTATAACAACTGTCGCGCACGTTCCTCCTGCTGTTGTGATTGTTGTTGTTGTTTTGGTGGTGTCTTTAAAAATCGCCTGCATTTTGGGGTGTGTTTTTTAGCTGGGCCACAGGTATGGGATAATCAATTCCAGAAATTTTAATGGAGCTAACTTTCACTTGACGATTTGGTAACTTAGAAAGTTCTCTTTCTCTGTCCATCATCATACTGTAGCACAGATATCCCCAAATTTGTTTAGCACTTATCGAAATTGATACAGCTGATCAAAATCTCACGTCTAATTTAGCAGAAAATCGAAGCACACACAATACCGAGTCATGATATGGCATATCTCAAAACTAAACAGAGAAAGAACAGCACGAACAAAAGGAAAACCGGGCGAGTTCATTCGAGAAAGGAAAACTCCATTTTTGGTTTTGTTCTTTCCTTTCTTCGGCCGCCTGAATGCATTGAACTCCTGTCTGACCCTAGCTGGGGGTTGGCCAAATGTCTGCCCAAGTCCTGGGCGAGGAATACCGCATAATGCACACACATCGTGAGGTAGTCGAGTAATGAAAGGACAACACGCGATGGCCGGTAGGACGAGGGCACATAAGCATATGTAGTAAAGTCGAAGGATCTGTCCATATTAGATATTACTTTATTACACTTACGTTTCGTATGCAGCTCGACAATTTACTTAATAAGTTCTAATTGCACATAAAACTCGGCAAAACACTCATAAATTATTATTCCGTTCAACGTGTTGCGGGCTCTGTTAGGGCAGCCAAGCAGGAAAACTATTTAAAACAGCAACACATAAAACTTTTTAGTGGTTCGCAAATGAGAAACTATTAAAAAGTGCGGAAAATTCTTGCGTCGAGCTGCGGCCGCCACAGACCGTGGTACTTTAAAAAATGTATACCTTTTTGTGTTAACCACATTTAGAGGAAATGTGTTTATGGTTTAACCTATTCCTGTCATCCTGCACAGTTTGCATATTATAAATGGGTTTCCTTCAGCTCGACAGGACGAACAAAAAATGGTTCCATTTTATTTATACATGTGCAAAATTTGCTTTTAAGCTGCGGAGCTGCGTAGGAGATGCTTGTCGCTCTTTATGCTCGCTCACAAAGTGAAGAGGGTATATTAGGATGGATATGTTGAATACATTAAGTGGGGCAGTTGGAAATGAAGAATAACTTTACATTTTATAAGGCAATCGCTATTAATAATGATGGCTATACGATGTTGAATGTAATCTACGAGTATATATATTGATCTTCACTTACATATACTAATACATAACAGATGAAAATATTATAATATGCTCGTTTATTGAAATATATACTGCGTTAAAATTTAATATTAGGAACTTTTAAATAATAATTTCGAGGAACGCCTTGTGGGCAATTTTATCTAACATATTTATGGTTCTATTAATTGTCCCTCTATGAGGACGTTTCTAGTTGCTAAAGACTACATCTTTCACAGTTTTTTTACTATTTGTAATGGCTTACTATTTGCTTTTCTACATAGATCCATCAAACACGTATTTTGTATATATTCGCCTCTTGGGGTCGTAAAAAATCATAGATATAAATGCATTGTTTAATAAATCCAGTCTATGAATGAGTATCACGCTGTCGATTACTCCCTGTTGGCAATGGCTTCCTATTTGCTTTTAATTGTAGTAAAAGTTTGTAGTAATAAAGGAGAATGCATAAAAAAGAACACATAACTTTACTTATTATGCTATTTTGTTTTTTTTTTCTTTTTGCCCATTACCCTAGGTGTATAGTTACGTTATTTTTAATTTCAAATAAGCTGACAGTCCTTTCAATGTTCAGCAGGAGAACACTTTGAGTGAAAGCAAAACACAGCACAGCCAACTGCAAATTGGCGAGGAGTGCAAAGCTGTGCTGGATTTTTGTCTGACCTGCTAAACTGCTGGAAGCTAGAGGAGCTGAAAAGTTTGGCTTAACAAGGAGCATTGGATTAGTAATTTGTTAAGCCAACAATTTACATTGTCTCGCAGGGCTTCAGTTCATTTTCATTTTACAAAGAGCTGCAGCCCCGCTTCCTGACATGTGGGCTGCATACAAATGCTTCAAGTATCGCATAACAAGGTCCAAGTGTGAACGGGGGACGAACCTCTTAAAAGGCTTCAGAGAGTGCATTTAGCCTTTTGCATTTGCATTTTGCATTTTGCATTTTACATTTTTCATTTAATTGTAATTTTCAAGTTAAACTAAATTAAGCAACTTTTATAGAGGTATTTTCTTGGTACAATAATTTTCTCATTTAGCTGAAATAAGTTTTTACTTTTGCTCACTTTGCTTTGCTTTGCGAGAGAGAGAGAGGGAGAGCGAGAGGGGCAAGGGTGTGCGAGAGAGAGAGAGAGAGTCATTTCATTTTGCTTGATGGCGGTTTGCGTTTCCACTTGAAGAACTTGTTGTTGACTTAATTGCATAAGTTTTTAGTTTAGTCCCCTGACTTGAACTGAATGGAAATTTAAGCAATATGCTGAGAGCAATTCACATTCACATGACATCACGCAATGCAACTTGGTAAACCAAAATAAAAACGAAAAGTGTCTTTGGAATGCTGAAAGGCGTTCAAAAAGTATTTCTAAAGCGAAAGTAATTTACAGGATAATAGCCAAAGTATTTGCCTCCCTCTCCTTTCGCTGCTCTCCACTGTTTACCTATGCCGCGCACCTTATACAATTTGCATGTGTGTCATAAATTCGACAGCAATAAAATTCAATCACATATTTCATTACAAAATATACAGAAGGAAAAATTTAATTTACTTTTCGGTGCCAAGCGACGAAGCATGCATAAATCGTGCTCCTGCTCCTGCTCTTGCTCCAGCTCCTATTTCTCCTGCTGCTTCTGCTGCTGCTCTGTGCAGATGCTGAGCTCTTGTTGCTTGCTGGCTTCCTGGTTCACCTAAGTTTCAATCTCATTTGTCTGTCTTCCGGCTTGCTGCCACCCCCACCTGCCGCCCCTTATTTATGACTTGGCCAGAGCCCGCAGGCTGCGTGTCCTCAAAGTGTTGTCTTGATAAGGCGGCAGCTCCCTGTCTATGACGTGTCTGTCCGTTGTAAAACTGCGCGCACATTTCGTCGTGTATTCAAATTAGATTTATCCACAGCAAATTTTTATGGCCGAATAGCGTCAGGCTGCCCGCCTGATTACTTTTTCGGGCGCACTCTCATTACTTGTAAAAACAATATTAAAAATATTTTGTAATTTTATTCATGAGTTTCCGCAAAATTAAATGAAAACAAAGCGGCCTGACCACACAAACGTTTGCCTGTCCGAACAAATTAAGAGTTTGCATGCCATCTTCATTCACTTTAAGTTTACAAAAGTAAAATTATTTATTTAGTTTCTTTTTTTTTTTTATATATTTAAAGTATATAAAAATTGAAAGATATGTAACCATAGATTAATTATTAAAAAATTATAAATTAATACATTTCATGATATATAACCAGGCTGCAATACTGTAACATTTGACTTTCTTTACATTTTTATTTCTTATAAATATTCCAGCCAACCGAATGATTTCAAATTTTCATATAAGACAGCTAAATATCGTATTAACAAAATAAAATTAAGATCTTAAACATCCATAGAGTAGAAGCAAAGATACAGACCCTTAAATTTGCAACATTGAATTCGTGTTACAGCTTTGCTTGTCACTGTAGTATACAAAAATGTTTATATATATTATATAGACTATATATAATATATGTATAAACATTTTATAAATATTTATAGTCTATAGCACAACTACAAATCTGAAAAGCATAAACTAGAAAAATATACTTATATAAGAAGAAGAATAATAAGAATAATAATAAAATTTAATCAATTATCAATCGCAGACTCTACTTGGATTAGTTAAAAGACTTTGCTATAGAACTTCCCTCACTTTTAGGGTATTTGATACTCATTACTCTAAGGCTAAATAAAAATGTGCATAAATTTTACATAAATAACTTGCATTCATTAAAAGCCATATTAATTCCAGACATGTTTCGTTTATTATTATTTCTAAGCATCAAAATATTCCCTTCTCAAACTACGCAGATTTTCTACAATATATTGCGCAGTGAATTCAAAAGCTGCGAATTGAAGTGAGATTGAAAGAAATTTAAATTGGTTTTTTATGTTGCAATATATATATATGTACAAATATATACATATGGAATATATATATATATTCGTTTGCCTTAATGTAATATTTCGGTTTGTCTGTCAATGTTTCCAATTTAATGAAAATCAATGCTGTGGCGCCCAAAAGACGCCTTTAAAAATTGACTAGTCAGCGTGAAAGCAGAGTAGACATCTATAAGTATGTATGTCTGTATATATGTATGTATGTATATAGTCGCTTCGATGTCAATGGCTTCTAATGAAGTTGTGCTAATGCTGGAATAAATCTAAATAAATAAACATACATAAGTATGGCATGCTATGCTATGCTATGCTGCGCTATGTATTCGATATCGAGCATAACAATCACTTAGATGCTGGCACGCCCCCTTCCCCGTCTGCGGGCGAAGAGAGCAACCACCCATGGGGCTGCGGCGCTTGAAGGGATTCGGTTCGTAAGACAAATATGAATCCATGATGACATGATTGTTGTTGTTTCTCCCATCGGTTGCCTAAAGTAGTTTTTTTTTTTTTTTTGCTTTTGTGGTGCTGTGGTGCTGTGTGTGTTTACAAACTCTGATTTCGCTGCTGGCCTACTTATTTCACATAGTTTCATCCCCGCTAAACCGCAATTCCATGTTTTTCCAGCGCATTCCTTTTTTATACACTTCAAATATCGATTGGAGTGCGGCGAGAGAATGCCATGTAAATTGAATAAGAGCCAATAGCTTAGTGCTGAGTGATTTGCACCGAGTAATTTAATCAATCTGAAATGCTTTGTGCGTTGAGCTGTTAAAAGTTGAAATATCTAAACCACAGCCGACAGACACCCACAGGCGAACGGCATTCATTATGCATTGACAAGGACCTGGCTGCACTTCCCGAGAGCTGCAACAAGGATATCAGCAATTCCAGCTGAGCGTGCAGCTTGTTGAACTCCTGCACATGTGTGTGGGAAATAGAAAATGTTGTAGCATTCAAGTTTATGGTTCAGTCGCTTACGGCGACAGAGATCCATGAGAACGTCTTAGGAAGTCAGTGACATGGCTGATGGGGGTGCTGACAGATGTGGAAATTATAGAAAATAGTTTAATACTCTGTCTGGAATCAGACTAAGCCAAAGAGATATGGAAAGATTTCGTGATTAGCTGAATGAATATTCTATATATCTATACCATAAACTATGATGCATCTGGGGCAGTGAACTCTATATATTATTTAATAACTATCTTCCACTATATATTTACTACAGCTGCAAGTTTATCTTATAGCCGAAACAGCTTGCAGCTCCCTTCTATAAACTCTCTCTTTGGACGCCCCTGTGCACTTTGTTAGTTGTTGATTTGCCAACTTCTGCTGCTACTCAAATATTGAGTAGTTGAGCAGCAAACTCATAAAGCTTGAGCACAAAGGTAGCCCAAGGAGTTAACCCAGACCAGTTTGGAGTCGGGCCGAGTCGACTCGAGTCGAGTCGAGTCCCGTCTCGGAGTCCATTCAGCTTGCATGCAATTCTAGCATTTGCCTGCGGCTGTCTGGCCACACACACACACACACACACACACCTGAGCATAGAACGTGTACATAGCACATTGTAAATGCTCGCATTTGTTGCTTTTCTCTCTTTTCTCCATTTTCTTTTCATTTTTATTTTTATGCTTATTTATATATCCATATGGCAGGCAACCCTTTTGGTTGTCTGAGTTGCTTTAAATGGTCTCTCGCATGGACCTCGACGTGGGCGTCAGGTTCGCTTCCTCTTTTTTCTATTTTACCTGGCGCCGTGATATGGCGACAGCCATAAAGAGTAGAAAAAACATTGCTCAACTGTTGGACTAGTTGGCGGTAGGTTGGTGGCTTGTGTGGTGTTGGTGTTGGTGTTGGTGTGTGTCAGATGCATTTCCCAAAGCTATTTTAATATGCCTTCTGTTGACGTGAAACTCTTACTTAGTTTTGATAAGGGACCAGTGTGAATGTGTGTGTGTGTATGTGTGGGAGGATGTTGCTTTAACTAAGCTGCGGAAGTGCTTAGCTTTCTCGACAACCAGCCGCCCTTGTATTGCAGTTCATCTGCAACTCCTGTTCGCCACCTCCTGCCTCGTCCTTCAATGTCAATTGTCGCTGCCTCTCCTGGCAAGTTGGCTGCTGTTGTGGAAAATCCTGTAACGTAGCTAGTCTGCCACATAATTTGCCGATAATTTGTGCTGCACTCGGCTTCGCACTCGTTCGTATTCACGAGCGACGGCATGTCAAGACCATATGAAGCGCAACTTGAAAGCAACCGTAATTATAATGAATTGGTCTGGCACGGACACACGATATAAATAAATAWATATATATAAGAGAATGTGCACACGTGTGTGTGTGTGGACACGTTCGGGTTCATTGTCACGGCAACAGTTGATAATTTGATAGCGATGCAAGTGTCGATTCTGCTGCTCAATTAACAGTCGAGCACAGTCCATTATTCCCACTTAGTGGAGACAGCCACCCGTGCGTATACGTAATATCTTTCAAATGTCCAGCTGCTGCTGCTGTGTTGTGCTATTTATGGCTTGGGTCAAGTGCAGCTCTGTTTATCTACTCACAAATAAGCTCTCTTTTGACAGAAGCGGCGAGCGCTCGCTACTTGGCCTCGTTCATGCACCTGCAGCAAACACAAGTCTTATTTACAGTTGACTAAGGTAGTTGAAGGCGAACGCAGAACGGTCTACAATGGAATGACATACATATAAGAGGGGCAACATCTGTTGTATAATAAACCATGAGTTTGGCCGTTGCTTGAAACTTTCTTTTCTTATTTGTACATAAATACATATAGATCTAAGTATTTCTATTTAGGCATAGGTATGTCTCTCGTCGTTCTATGTATATTTACTTTTATGTATTTTCTTCTCACTCCCAAGTGAAGTGCAAAAAGCTGAATAGAAAACTAAATGTTCATTATTATTATTATTAATATTTTCATATTAATATTCGTCCATTATTAATATTATTATAATTAATTTTACACTAATATTAATGTTATTTTTATTATTATTATTCTCACATTTATTTATTGCTAGAATTTAATGTAAATCATGAGAAATTCCTTAAACATGTTTACCAAAATACTGAAGCACAGCAATCTTTCTAATTTATTTTTTTAAACTTTAAGCTTAAGCACATTACTCAGATACATTCCATAAAAGAACCACAAGAGTAAATATATGGAGAGTTGCACTAAGGAAATCCCTTTTAGTGCTTCTGCTTGCGCTGCAGTGCTTCAATTAAGTTTATTTTGAGCACATAAACCACATTGATGACATAATAACATTGTATGGAATCCATTAAGGCTGTAAGCATTTTAAAATAATATTTGCACTTGGCGATGAAAATGAAAGGGGATATCGCATGCGGGCCAACAAATGGACTTTTCCAGCCAGCTCCTGCTACCATCCTTATCTACTGATTAGAGGTAAACAGAGCGTGTAAATGTTTGAATACGAATATTTGAAACGAGCATTTCCCTTTTCTATTCCACTGCTCTACTCGCTTCTCTCTTCTCGCCTCCCGCTTCGCTTTTTTATTTTGTCGCATGCGGTTGCTTTTTGCGCCGCATTTCAGCACTCGGAAAAATTCTACCCTCGCACACACACACACACACACATGCAGAAAGGGTCTGTAAAATGTGCATAACATTGAGAAAGCGAGGCACAAAGTATAATCAAGTAAGGCTAAGGGGCGGAAACGCCATTCACATGCCACACGCCAACTGGTCATGCAGCGGGGCATTGACATTTTGCCTATCAAACTGCCCTCGCTGACAACAACAACAGCAGCAGCAGCAGCAACAACAACAACGTGTAACTTGGCAATTTTGCAATCGCATTGGCTTTGATTTTCCACGCTGCGACAATTCTGGATCTCTGCACCGGTCAGAATTAGGATGCAGATACACATCCTACAGCCATGGGCGGTCCATGGTCTGGCCGGGCCTGGCCTGGCCTGGCCTCACAGTGCAGTTAATAGTTTAGAAACGGGCGGGCAGCAGAACCCCATGTCGCACATTAAAGTCAGATTTACGGCTCGAACTCCTGGTTCTGGTCTTGCTCCCTGCTCCCTGCTCCCAGGTCCTGCCCCTGTGTTTCATCAATATTTATGATGATGGCGTTGCGGGGCGGGTGCCAGAGAGAGATTTGCAGATTGGGTAGTGTAAAATGTGCAATTGATTGTAAATTTACGACTCTCACTTGATCGTTACGCATGCAGCTCCCATCCACACACGCACACTGGTACCAAATCCATGTAGGCCAACATTAGTTGATTTTAATTGAAATCGATGGCGTAGACTGCAGCTTTGATATATAAAGTAAATTATTTTACTATTTTTAGTTGAGTGCCTTAAAGAGTTTATTATTTATTTAAAGAAAATTGAATTACATTTCCACAACCTGCACAGTGTAACGATGCCGATGTAATTTGATTATAATTGTTAAGCGGCATGAGCTTTGGTTTTTAATTGAATATTTTCAGTGTTTTGCTCTTTATTTTATTTTATAAATATTTTATTTATTAAATATACAATTTTTCAACATATTTATTTGCTTTTCATTTATTCCAGATTTTATTTGATATATTTTTGCATGTAAATAACACTTATCTCACAAATATTTTTACTGAATTATTGAAGCTTCCGTTTCGATAAAAAATATTGATTATATTTTTCGTAGTATTTTTTCTGGCAGTTTTTCAATTCGGTTTCGGCATGAATTGAAGCCCTATATGTTTGGCTGTGTTGAAATTCTTTAAATATTTGGAAATTCGTTGCCGCTTTCATTGGGCTTCAAGAGCTACCCTAAATTATCATCCCCCTCATTGTTATGGACTGCATTAGCACCCTGTAGCACGTGCGCCTGATTGGACCTACTCGGTTCAGTTTGGCCGGCCAGCGCGACCCAAATTAGACCAGCTGGGAGATGACTGTTGCCTAAACAGATACATCGAACGGCTGGCCAAATGAACATACACACGCGAGTGTAATTAATGACCGGGCAGAGCTCAATGACAGCCGATTTCACTAATAACATATGAACCATTAGGCTTTAAAGGTTTTGCGAGCCGGCCAACCTGGCCGCATGTGGGATATGGCAATTGATTGCGGTTGTTAGGCTCCGCTGAGCTTTGCGGCACATGGAGGTAGACAGAGGCAAATATTACCCATAAATAAATAGCGAACAATAGCGCAGAGAGCATGCCATAAAAATAAATTGAAAATACAAATAAAATACAATCTTCATTTCCTTTCACTCTATTTTTTGGGCTCATTCTTACAATTGAATTAAGACAGTAAAAAAGCAAAAGAAAAACTCACTCCCTTTCCCTCTCTCTCTCTCTCTCTATCTCTCTAATCTGATCAGAGCTTGCAGCAATTACTGCACGCTTGTCTCGCCCATTGTTTGGCCTTTGGTTTAACGTCAATATTTTCTTCTTATTTTCGTTTATTTTCAGAAAAATGCTAAGCCCAATACCGTTGGCATTATGTTCTAATGGAAAATCTCTAATCGGCCAGAAGCCCAACAGCAACAGCAACAACAACACGCGCTACAATAAATTACAGCGTTGAGCGTACCCTGCCACGCCCACTGGCTGGGTGGGGTGCATGGTAAGGCGCTCAACGGAGCCCCACGTAGCACAACAATAACACTAACGTTAACGGCTCAATTCGTCATACACCCAGCACGCCATCTATTGGCAAGTAGCAGAAGCACCACCCAAGTCGTTCTCGTCGGCGACAATGGCTCGCAGGAAGCGCACAAGAAGGAAAATGCCAACGAATCGAAAGCGGAAGAAGACAGTTGGCATGTCAGCTGCAGCAGCATCATCAGCATCAGCATCTGGCCACGAATCAGTAGTCAAGTGGAAGATTATGATATCATCAATAATATTTCTGCTATTCTGCTGCACAAGTGAGTGACAGACAAGTCGAGGCGAGTCGAGTCGAGCTCGCGCCATGGCAATCCAAATGGATGTCTGAATCTTTAATTTCCCTGTGTGTATAAGTGTGTGTGTGTGTGTGTGTGTAAGTGTGTGAGTGTGTGCTTTTGTTACTTGCGTTTTCTTTTGCTTAGCCATTTCTCTGCATTCAGCCTACATCTATCATAGCAATTTGTTCTAGCTCTTAGCTCTTAGCTGTTAGCTCTCTCTTTTGTTCTCAACTAAATTATGAGTCGGAGTTATCAACTCAACTGGGAATGGGACGCAGCGAAAGTGCTTTTCCTGCTCCTTATCTAAGCTTGATTTATGCAATTGTTAGACTTAATGCTCTCTACAACTACTTTTTGTTTGTAGTTAGTTAAATATTGTTGAGAGTGTCAATAGCAGGCAGAGCGAAGCAGAGATAAAGAGAGAGTGGGAAGGCGAGAGCTTCAGTATTCCCTGCGGTGTTTGGTTAATGGCAGGCAAACTTTAGCCAAAAATGAGTTAACTTGATAAATGTACTTCAGCTTCGAATATCAGGCTTGATGCTGTCTCTCATTAGAGTTATTTCTGCTACTATTTTAACTATAGAAATAGCTGTCAGAGTTACAGTTAAGTAATCAGAGTAGCGCATGAAATTCGCAAATTCTCTCTCTCCTTATAAGCAACTGTCAAAGCGAAGTTCATTCAATTAACTCGGCTGCATATCTTTATTGCATCTATCGCACTCTCTTTTCGAGTAAATGAATTTTCTCTTATCTGTAGATTGAAGCTGGGAGTGAATTCTGCAGGAGTCGCAGCAGCAGCAGCTATAACACAGTTTATCTTATATACATATATATGTGTATATAATCCTATATTTGATATATGTATGTATATATGTTTTTTCTCCGAAAAGATGTCACCAAATAGAAATCAATAAATATTTGCTAGCTGTTGTTCGCTTCCATTTGTTTAGCCTGTCACACTCACCTATTGAGAATCTTGACTTCGACAAAGCAGGCGAAATAATGCTGAATGCGGGGTTTCTGCTGGCAGAGTGGCAGCAGGTTATAAAAGAGATTTCGCCTATGCCAACTGGGGAGCACTTAAAGGGAACAGCAAAAAAAAGAAGAGGCGTCAAAAGGGGCTTGGGCGGGGGTGTGGATTTTACTCCTGCTGGCAGACAATAAGAAATAAATTACAAAGACTTGTGCATAATTCTTAACTCATTCTCCCTCTCTCTCTCTCTCTCTCTCTCTGTTTCTCCCTCTCCCTTTATCTATCTATCTCTGTATGCTTTGCATGTGGTGATTAATTTGTTTCGTTTGTGGCACGACTTGGCTGGGATTCAACAAAAGGTCACGTGCTGGCGGTGCGCAGGGGTCGCCTGATGTCCCCGAGCACATTCACTGCACTCAGCGGCGACCTGCATGTGCAGATCCAGTTCAGCGGCGACGAGGAGCAGCAACAGCAGCCGCAGCAGCAGCCCGGACAAAGGACCAATATAACACAGCTTCAGCCTCAATATCAAAACAATATAACAGACGGCAGTGTTGACGCCCACTTAAACACTGACAGCAGCACAGGATTGGGCGTGGGCGTGAGCCAGAGAGGGGCGGAGGGCATGGTGAACACCATAATGAGCACTTTAGTCATTAGCAAAATCGTTAATGATGCTGCCCCAGCTGAGGGGGAGATTGGCAGCGAGACGACCAGCTCCAGCCAATTGGTGCTGCAGCGCCGGCGCAAGGAGATTGTGCAAAATATTCCAGTCTTTCCGGATCCCAGGCAGAACATCACCCAGGTGACAGTGCCGTGCCAGACGTTTGCGCGCGGCGGTGGCCTGTACGAGATGCAGGTGGTCAGAAATCTGAAGACGACGGTCAATCGCAGTGATCCGACTCCATTGACGACGACAACTCTGATGCCGGCGCAGGATGAGCGGCTGCTGCAAACGCTGGACGTGCGATGGCCCAGTGCCGAGATGCTGGTCAGCCCCGTGACGTTGCGCACCTACCCCAAGGCACCTGTCCAGGTCACGCTGCGCTTTCCGGAGGTCAACTGCGAGCGGGCGCTGCATGGAGCGGAGCCCTCGCTGCCAGAGTTCTGGCTGGAGCTGGTCTACTGTGGCAAGGAGCGCACCTGCTCCTACGACATGGCCAATGTCTCCAAGTCGAGCGTCCTCTTTGCGGAGCAGGTGCACGGCTTTCCCAAGCTGAAGAAGGTGCAGCTGGGCTGCGAGCTGTTCGGCCTGGCCGGCAACTATGCCGTCCAGCTGCGTCCCATGGTGCCGGCATTGAATGTGCCCACCACACGGCGTATGCTCAGCGTGGACTGGAGCGATGAGTTCGTCTTCAATGTCTACGCGCGCAGCATCTTTCCCTGCGATCCACATACGGGAGTGGGCGTCCTCTACGAGTATCCCGGCTGCATCCTGGAGCAGGGCGATCGAGTGCGTCTCTATGCCAAGCTGCGCGCAGATGTGGCCTCGCTCAAGCCGCCCACCTCGCTGCACTACGTCGCCGAGCAGCGGGTCGTCAAGAGCCAGCACTCACTGTACTTCAGCTGCGAGCTGTTCTCGGAGAAGTACGTGGAGTACTGCTTCGTCTATGTCAGCCAGGCCATCTCCGGCGCCGTTGCGGATGTGCGCATGGACTGTGTGCCCACGCTACCTGTCAGCGGTAAGTCAAGCGCTCCCGGTGCTGCCCCATCAAACGGCGTTGCCAGACAGCGCAAGCATGAGCTCCTCCGCCATGGCACATGGAACAAATTGCATTTAAGCTGCTTGAAGCTCGCTCGTTTGCTCGCTTTCGTTTAGCTCTTTGCAGCTTCACTAATCACTAATCTGCTTAACTATTCCACAGAATCCGACACGGGTGGCTGGGGCGCCTGGAGTGAGTGGACGCCGTGCTCCACCAACTGCCTGGGCGGCACTCGCAATCGCTATCGATTCTGTGACTCGCCGCCGCCGCGCTACGGCGCCAAGTTCTGCGAGGTATGTACTCAACTTTGGCTTAGATAAACTTTATGCCATCTATTAAACAGTTACTCCAAAACTTTGCTCCGCTTTTTGGGCGGCCGCTTTAACTGCAACTAAAACTAAACGTGTCGAACTTTCGCTGGCAAACTTTTGCTTTTTAACTCGGTCTATAAATTCGTGTAGACACCAACTTCGGCTCAGAGACAATTTGCAGTCGAGGCTCATGATTCAGTTCATTGCTGCTTCTGCATGCTGAATCACAGCATATCTACAAACTAGGCGCAGACACGTTTACATATAGAGAGATCCCTATCTCAGGGAAGCAGGAGGGGTAGAAGGGATTGCCTCTCCTGCTGGCAAACATGTTCTTGTTCTTGTTCTTGTTCCCTGCTCCTGCTGCTGCTTCTGCTCCTGCTCTTGTTGTTATTGTCCCGACTGTCTGGGCAGAGTGTTACAATATTGCGACACTTGCTCCAGATTGCGTTGGCAAATTTACAACGTTGCCAACGGGCAGCGGAAAGCAGAAAGCGGAAAAACACTTCCCGCTCTCAGTTTTTGCCAGAGAGACGGGCACTGCTCTTGGAACTATGCCATCGTCAAATGTGTATTTAAGCATATACATGAATGTATTCAACACGGGTCACAGCGCCAACAGTTTCTGCAGATTCCGCAAGTGAAGCGCCAGAAAAATGCTGCAAGGAAATCGAATTTTCTGGCTTTCACTAAGGCTAAGCACTCAGTTTTCTCGGTTTTCTCAGTTTTCTCGGTTTTCTGCCTTTTTTAATACACTTATGGGAGTTGCCATTAAATATGCAGGCAGCTGACAAAGCAGTGGCTTTGTTTCATTGTTGTTACACGCATTACCCAGACAGGACGAGTCAGACAACGGGAATTGTTACACCTGTATTTGAAAAGAAAGCGGAAATACTTTCACTTCTTTTAATTTTCATCATTGTTCAGAACAATTGACGCAAGCTATAATAAAAGATTGTTGACTTGGATTTGTGATTTTAAATAGTCCTTCATTTTGCCGATTGTCCTGGCAACGCAAAGCTTTCACAGTTCCTTGGCCTGGCTCGGGAAGCTTTTTGTTTTTCGCCTTGACAACTGTTTGGCTTCATATGTTGTTTAGAGGAATTTGTGGAATTCAGAGAATGTAGTGCTCGAATCGAATACAGTCAGTAAATACATCATTTATTGTTGATAAACACAAAATTCTTACTCAACTGAACGGGGAACACAGTCTGAAGAGAAACCGTCAAGATGCCGCCGAAACCAAGGAAGTCCTCGAAGGGCAAAGGCTCGGAGATCAACAAGATGACTCAGGTGGATCGCACTTTCTATGAGCTGCAGATCACGGACTTGAACCAGAAGCTATCGCGTCTGCGTTCCCATTTGGCCAACATGGATGAGTCCAACATCATCCTGCAGACAAAGCTGCAGGACATCGACACGGACCGCACTGATGTCGCTGCCCACCTGGAGCGCACCTTGGCGGAGCGGAATAATACGATAACAGAGCTGGAGGAGCGCCTGGTGGAGATATCGAAGGTACGCAACGAGGAGAAGCAGGTGGCCCAGGAGAAGATCGCCGACCTGGAGGGCAAATATAAGGCGATGCACGACCAGCTGACCTCGGAGATAAAGCTCCTCAATGGCAAGCTGAACTCGCTGGATGAGTTTCGCATACAGCGCGATATCCTGCTCGCCAAGTTCGATGATCAGGAAATTGAGATACGAGAGAAAGAGAAACTGCACAAGGAGGCGCTCTACAATATGGAGCAGGCCGCTGTCGTGGAGAAGGATGCGCTGAAGAAGGAGGTGGAAGCCAAGTTGCTGCAGGTCTCCGAGGATTTTACGCGCTCCAGCGAGATTCGCAATGCCGGCTACACGCGCCGACTCATCAGAGAGAACATCGCTCTGCAGAAGGAGATCGACATGCTGGTGATGTCGCAGATCAAGCTGCAGCAAATGTACAACAACCAGAAGGAGAAGCACAAGGAGATCATGGTGCAGTACAGCGCCCTGGATCAGATCAAGAACGAGCTGGTGCGCAACTCCATAAATAAGATCAAGATCATCGAGAGCCTGACCACCAACTATGAGAAGCTCAAGTGCAAGTACGTGGAGGCGCTGCAGTATCGCAGAGCCTACGAGGAGCAGCAGGAGGCGGATCAGCTGATCGATGCGCGGAACAAAGATGCTGCTGGCAAAATCAAGTCCCTCTGCAGGCGCATCGAGAACCAGACGCTGGAGAAGCGTCAGCTGGAGGCAATCCATGACCAGCATGAGAGCGAAATATTACGCTTGCGCGGCATCATACAGGAGATCAAGGTCACCGTGCGCGATGCCATCGTCAGCCAGCAATGCATTAAGCTATTCCCCCAGAGACTTGAGGAGGCCAACGTCGAGCCACAAGAAGTCATCGATGACGTGCGCGAGGAAGCGATCAACATGAATAAAATGGCACGCAGCGACCTCCTCTCCACACTGATGAACATCGTCAGCTCCCACTCGGCTGAGCTGCCACGCACGCCCTCTCTGGAGACCATCAGCACTGTGACCTCATCCCTGTACACGCCGGGCAAAATGGGCTTCATGCCGCACAAGCCGCGGCCCGCAGTCTGTGATCTCTTCCAGACGGAAGTGCTGGACCAACTGCCGGACCTGCAGGTGAAACTGCCAGAGTGTCTGCTGAAGGGCCAGGTTCAGGCGAAGCCCACTGAAAAGGTTGATGATCATGTCTCCATATATGATGTCGAATTCGGCACCACACTGTATGTGTCCTCATCCCGTGAAGAGGACGTCATAGAGGTGGAAGAGGAGCCGCTCGAAGAGCCCGAGGGCTCCAGCAGCACCGTCTCTGTGAAGAAGGCCAGCAGCGAGGGCAGCGTCGCAGCACCAGCCACTGCCCCGTTGGCCAAGCCCGTAGTTGAGGACGTCGTCAAGGCGGAGTCCACCAAGTCGATGCAAAGCTTATCCACCGCTGGCCTGACTGAGCTAACTGGCGAGGATGAGAATGTCGACGAGGAGGATGAGTACGAGATCAACTTGTTCTACTAAAACACAATCAGTCAGTTATAAAAATGTTGTGTATATTCTTGTGAATGTTTTGTTTCGGCATAAGGACTAAATAAAGGCTGTTCAAACTGAAAATATAAATCGAATAAATATAATGTAAATAATAATAACAATTTAAATCTAATAAATAAAGCAAACCCAGGTCTCGATTTTTCTAACCCTTCCACGTCTTTAATTTCAGGGCCCATCTGTGCAAACGGAGAAGTGCAATAAGAGCATTGCGGACACTTGGGATTGCATCTATGAGACTAGTGGCAGCATTCTGACCAAGTCGAATGTCACCGAGGTTCATCAGGAGATTGGTCCCGGCTGCCGCTGTGGCTGCATTGTGCACCTGGGCTCATCCAAGCCAAAGCGAATTATTGCTGGAGCCACGCAAAGCTGTCCTGGCCGCTCCTTCTGGCTAATTCAGGTAAGCGAAAGGATAACAAAGCTTTTACCTTTAATCCCCTCTTTAATCACACTTCCATCCGCAGGTTGACGGCGAGGAAACCATTTCCATGCAACTCAGTTTTTTGAGGCTGCCCTGCTCCGCGCAGTATATAAAGGTGCGCGATGGGCCGTCGCTGTCATCCACTTTGTTGGTGGAGCTCAATGGAGATGGTGCCACAGCGGGCGGCATCCGGCGTCCCTCTGCTGACGACGCCAATCATGTTGGCATTCCGTTAGCTGTTGAGTCGAGCGGAGCACAGCTGCTGGTGGAATTATTTTCGGGCGACGTGGCAGCGAACGGAACATCAATTGGGGGCTACGATGCTGCATCATGTACCGGAGGTTTCATGGCCAACGTCAAGCCTTTAGGTAGGTTAACTAACCCTCTTTAAAGTGCGCTTTAATGAATATTGTTTCTTTTATGCAGTGGGCAGAAGTGGTAGTAATGTCACCACAGTTCTGGCCGCCACACGCCTGTCGGCCAAAGGGCGCACGAATTCGCAGAAAAAATCACTGGCCAAGATGCGCTTCACTCTGGTCCATCTCAGCGCCATGGTATTTGCTACTATTATAATCATAATAAGCGCGCTTTTAGGTAAGTTAACTGACAAGTCTGAGTTTTATTAGGAAAATTCTGCCCAAAAGCAGCAGTTCGTTTAACAGCTAAGAGAAATTCGAGTTTAAATTTGGCGCCAATTACGCACATTTGCTATGCGCAACAAAAGTTTTATACCAGGGCTGCATAACAAACTTTTTACGAGTTACAAAAAAAAGACGAAAGAGTGCGCACGTGACGTCACAAAGTCAGTGTCAATCGGAAATGCATCAGCTTGTTGCATTATTTGCTGTATAGTCAACTATCATTTATTTCAACAGGTGCTCAATATGTAGTGCGGTATCGAAAATATCATTTGGCTGTGGCACGTCGGCAGGATGAAGGTTCACACCTGCACACGCCACGAGCATCGTTAAGCTCGCTACATGACCCGCCATCACGTGCCATTTCAACGACCACCCTTCTATCCGAGGTGATTTATCTTGTGAAATTGCGGCCCAAACATCAACTGCGGCACTCCATATTGCGTGAAAGCGCTGACGTCGAGAACGTGACCCATGAAACCGAGTTCAAAGAGGACGAGCAAATGGTGAAGAGGTAAGCTTTGCCCTATGAACAATGTATGTATATGATTGAAACTCATACAAACGATTCCAATTTTGTAGCGAGGAAGTGCCGGCAACATTTGGTAGCACTGCTTCCTTGATGACTTTGCGCAATGAACACGCCTCGTTAACGTCCTTGTCGCCGGCGACCGACAGTCGCAGTCCAGTTGGCTCACCGTTATCTGGCGATCCGGAACTGCAGCTGCAACGCCTGGATGGAGTGGAGAAATGCACCACAACGCACACCGGTGGAGAGCCTTTGAGCTGCAAGGACAGTGCCAAGGACTCGGAGTCCATCATATCGTCAGGCATGAGTTCCTTGTGCAATAGTCCACCTCTGAACAGCCACAGGCTCAGCAAGTACTCCGATCGCTATGACGCAGTGACATTGAAGCTGCTCAGCTCCCGCCTGGACGAGAGTCTGCGTGATGCTGCCTCTTTGAACTCGAATTCCGGCTCGCTGTGCCTGGGTCGCATGGGATCACGCAGTGTTAGCGCCTCCCTAACCAATGTAAGTGATGCAGTTCTCTGTGATTAATTCGATTTTAATAGCATCGTATATTCCCTTGCAGGGCTGCTACTCTCCGGCAGCGAGTGTGGTCAGCACGGCCACCATACGCACAACTAGCAATCCGAAAGAGTCCAAGGAGAAGCAGAACCGCAAGAAGCTCTTGGCGCGACCTGGATCTGAGTTCTCCCTTGGCAATCAAGAGGAGCTTGAGATGGACTACTATGATTACAATGTAATCAATGCGGGTGCTGCACCCGGCTCCTACCTAGGCATGGATCCAGCCTACTGCATTTGGATACCACCGTTTGAGGAGACGCCTGAGCGAGAGGATGAGGATAAGACACCCGAACCTACGTCAATTCCCGATGAAACGAATCCAACTTTTGATGAAATACAAATGCCCAAATACGGTCACTACCTATGTCCAGGTAGTAAGTCTACGACGACGGACAACACGCCCAGCTCAGAGGAACGATCCTTGCCCAGCAGCCAACATCAGTCCAAGGCCACATCACCCAACGAGACGACCCAGAGGGGCACGCCAACCAAGCAGCCAACTCCATATATGTCTCGCAAGCAGCGCCGCCAAGCTAGACAGCAATTCCGGCTGAATGCAGCAAACTCTGGCAATGAATCTGACTCTGGAACACTGCGGCCCAGACAAATCGACAAACCAGAAGCTGAAATTGCTCCAGTGCATCAGAGCATAAGCAAGGCGGAGACCCACATGGACTCTGACCAGTCAATGACCGGTTCATACGTGGAAAAGGAGACGCTTGTGGAGAAGTCGTCCCGTGACCTGCAGGAGTACCTACACCTGGATGACATCCAATTCGCCGATGAAAGCGGCAGTGATTACGAGGCAGCCCATCTGAAGAATAAGGCCGCATCCAAAACCCTACTGGAGAATGCAAATAGAACGAAGTCGAGAGAGGCTGCCGTATAAGGAGTGGCCGCTTAGCGTGTACATAGATCTGGCGAGAACCCTTAAGATAGTATATGTTACGGGTAGATACATATATCAGCAGTACGAGCATAAGACCACCAATAGGTTAGTTGGAAGTGTTGACTTAAAGATAATAGACTTAGGCAGTGTAGCAAACGACTTCAATTATTATATAGGTTCGAGTACAGCTCAATAGATGATCATCATAAATTATGCACTCAAAGATTCTCACTAATTGATATATTATATATACATGTATATAAGGAATTTATAATGCTAGTCACTTGGATTAAGTTAAAGCGTCGAGCCATTGACTATTTTGATATTTTTATTTATAATTAGAAACTTTTAATTGCGGCCTTTTTGTGATTACATTGTTTACCTATCAAAATCTAGTCAAAATTATTTATATATATATAGCCCATAGAGGTCTTGCTGATTTACCTTAACTTGTCTCGACTGTACTTAGTTTGTAGCTTATAGAAATCAAAAACAATATACGAAACTACATACACTAAATTTTTATTTACCGAATAAACGAATTTCACGAAATCCGTCTAAATACTGTACAAACATCGCTTGAGCTGTGCAGCTAGTATCTGGGTGTACGGTAGACAGACGGAACAATTTGACAACACGGAGCGATATCATCTGTGCATTGAAATTTCAATTTGGTTTCATGTGTGGCTTCATCAACTGGCTTGAACCGTTGCATGTTCCTCAGGTAGAGCTTTAGCTGTTGACGTTTCATTTGGCGCTTCAGCTTGGCTATGAACGGATCGTCGCCTCTGTTTCGATATAATCTATTGCAAATGCAACAGCAAGATTTGATCTGATGAACTTGGGCATCTGACCGCACTTTCTTCACCTTTCTTCGTTTGACGGCACCTTTTCCTTTAGGGACTGGCTTCACTTCTGGTGGTGTCTCTGGATCTTTTGAGTATATCATATCATATGGGTAATAGAGAAACGGTGCAGTGGGGGAATCAACGTCCACAACTGTTAATTTTTCGGAGTGAGTTTCCTCGACCTTTTGGCTTTCGATATTTTGTGTAAACTCAGAGTGAATAGACTCGTATGATTTCTTTCTAGCCTTTTGCTTTATTTCTTCCAAGCTTGAGGCTTTTTCCGTTGCTGAGAAGGGCTTTACAAATTTGATCACCGGTGGCTGGGACTGAAATTCTTGTTGAAGTATGTTGGGTCTTTGCATCAATTTGAAAGCCAAAAGATGGTCAGGCTCATAATAATAATGTCTTCTATGAGTTATTCCTATTTTAGGTAAACCTGGAAAATGGAAATCCTGGCCAAAGTTCTGGTGGCCCTCAACTGAATATGAGACCAAAGAACCTTTTTCTCCTTTTGAATAAGTATTACTCATGGCCGGTGAAGGAGATTTTCCTGTATGTAACCACCAGTTCTTCATATGAGCGTCGATCGCTTGTGTGCTGGAATGTCTCAGCTCAGTAGTGCTTGTTTTGCTTTCGATTACTCTCAGTTTACTAGATTTTGAACTAGTTCTTTTTATTTTGTTGTCTGACAATGAATTGGTTGAAGTATCAATTGAGGACCTTTTCTTTTTGGCGAACGCATTAAAATAGCCGAGTTCCCTATATCTATTTAGATTAGATCTCTCTTTATCAATGTTGGGAAGACTATCTTCCCCATCAATTTTCCGCTCTCCAGTACCAATAATATTTACAACTTTTGTATCTTCGACAACTTGTAACCCTCCAGTGATAATTTTTAACTTTTTTTTCTTTTGTGAAAATGCTTCAATCATTTCGGTACTTGATGTCTGACCCGTTGCTAAATTTGCCTCCTTCGATGTGTCTTCACTAAACATCGGTGAAAGCTCCCCAGATGGTAATTTTTTGACGAAACTCTTTTTGTGATATGTTTGTTTTTTTAGAATATATTCATTCGCGCGCTCATAGTCTTCTAGGATATCAAGACTGTCATTGCTGAACATTCTCTTCCAGTCTCTTTTCTGTTCTCTTTTTCTCTTGTTTTCAAGAGTCTGTTGCTTGCTACTAGGTCTATATTTCTTAAAAGGACGATCATTGTTCCTAAAAAATGCATCAGACTGATAGATGGACTGATCCCAGTCTATTGTGTCCAGCGTACTTCCGACATCAACCAATACCATACTGTTGCTTGACGATTTCTCAGAGCGCATTTTCTTAGCTCTATCAGTACTTTTCCTAAACATTACATTCAGAAATTTCTTTTTCACAATCTTTTTTTGCGGAAGTTCTGTGGTCTCCTCAATGTCCGGATTATTGGTATCGCTTTTCGGTTTCTTAGGTAAGTGACGGATCTTCTTAACTTTTGAATTTGAAAATTTCTGTTTTTCATCTTTTCTTTGTATCTGTAAATCAATGCTCTCTTTGCTATTATCTCTTGTCTTTTTCTTAGGTAAATGATGGATCTTCTTATGTTTTACATCACTAATTTTTTGTTTGCCATCCTTTCTGTGCATCTTTGAATCAATGACCTCTCTCTTACTATCCCTCTCTTTTTGGATCATCTTCAAATTTAGATTCCCAACTTTTTTCTTTTTCGCTTTTTTTGCTTCCAGCATTTTTGTCTTTACTTTAATATCCTTTACTTTGATATCTCTTTTCCTTTTCTTAGATACATACGAAATGCCAGTGAAATTTACATCAGCCATCAGCTTTTTCACTCCTTTTGTTTCCGGACGTTTCTTCAGGTCTATGCCCTGCACTATCTGGCCCCTTTCCCTTTTCTTAGGTACTTTATACAGCTTCCTATCAGGTAGACTCTTTATCGGTTCTTTTGTTTCAGGAATTTTTCGTTTTAATTCCAATTTCTTTTTTTTGATATCTCTGTTAAGTTGCTTATATATATTATATATATTCAGAATATCATCACCAATCCCCTTTTTCCGTTCCTTTGCTAGAGGAATTTTTTTCCTTACGCCAATGCCCCTTATCATATCAGTCCTTTTTCTTCTCTCAGGTACAGAATAAATTTTCCTTACTTGCCTCTTCAGAATTTTTCTGTTTCCACCAATAGCCTCTTTCACTTCATCCTTATTTTGCCTCTTTCCTTTTCTCTTTCTCGCTGCATCAATATTTTTATTCAATACACTTATTTTCTTGTTCTTATGTAAAGGATGTTTCGTTCTCTGCTCAGTGTGAATAGTCTTTTTACTGATTTCTAATAAATTTTTATTCCGATCTATTAAAGGTTTTCTCATACGATTTTTCTTCGTTGGCTTAGCTCTGATCTTATGCACATTCTTGGGTTCCAGACTTTTAGACATGATATCAATGGATTTCCTCAACCACTTGATGGAGGACAATGAAATTGTATTGTTTTTAGTTTCGTGTCTCTTAGGTTGAACTGGAGTTTTGTAATACTGAACGATATTCAATCGAGGCACATTGATTGGTTTTCTCTGCAAATTATCTGATTCTTTGTATAGAAACTTGTTTGAATGGGTTGTTGGACCAAACGGAAAGGCGTGGCTGCTGGCTTCACTTGATACTTTCTTCTTTTTAGGCTTGCTCACAGTAACACACGAGAATCTGTCATCGGTCATTTTACCCAAGGCTTTGCAGTTATACAGTATGTTAAAAAAATTTCCTTTGTTACATTCATTCTCCGAAATTGTTTCCTTGAACCAGTTGTCCAAGTCGATGGCGGAGTACAGCAATGGCACCTTCGGATACAAGTCCAGTGGCTGATAAGCTTGGTTATTATTGGCTCCATGTCTCTGGGCTGTTGGCCAAGCGAGTGACCTGCTATCAGTTCTCTCGATCTTGGTCAATAGCCCCGCGACTGTTTTGAGCTTCTGATTTCCATTTGAATTTTCGGAGGACATCGCTATTCGATATTCGCAATAACTACCATAGAAGACGAACCTAACTGATTTAGGGGATTTTTTCTCTTTTTATACATTGTTTGCTAAATAAAAATGTAGAAAAGTATGCCAGTTTTTTTTTTTTTATGATTTTCTATTCTCATTTACGAAAAGAGCTATTTTAATACTGTGCAACTTCTGTAGAAAATTGCAAGCATTACAGCTTATAGATGCTTTAAATTATTATGTTACGTAGAGTGAATCTTACTTTAATCATGTGACATTCTAAAACGAATAAAAAAGAATATAAATATAATATCAATTATTATAATAGATATGAAAGCTGATCTCACACGCATTTAAATTATGTCAATATTTCAAGGGATGAAACAAATAGAGAAACACGTTTTCTTGTTTTGTTTATATTTATATATGGCAAATTTAACAAATTTTATATTTTTTAAAAATATACATAGATACAGCTAAAAAACAGCTCATTGCGGACTGCAATTCTGCTCACATTTCTTCTTTTCGTTTATTATCAATTAAAATAGCTAATAAAATTATGCAAATACATACGTATATATATACATATACATATACATATATAAATATATAGACACATATATAACAGCATATGTATATAAACATGTATAAATAAATAAATATATGTATTTATTTATACACACATATACATATGTATATTTATATATTTTAAATATTTTATATAGTTTAGGCTTAAACATTACGTACAATCACACGCACTTAGTTTATATACTAGAAAAAACACATTTCAATCATATATATTATAAGATTTTTTTTTTGTTATATATGTATATTATTAATAGGTTTTTTTTTTTCATTTGTTGTGCAAATTAAATAAACTAATTTCATGTTATGCTTAAAATGTTTTTAGTTTTTCTTTTATTTAGCTGCGCATTGGAGAAGTTACAAGTTTCATATTGTTTGCATGTGTGTGTGTGTGTGGGATGAGTGCGCGCGCTCTTGAAGGTATGCATATAGTATTATTTATGTTAGTATTATCATTATTATTATTATTATAAATCAATAACTAGTCTGAAGACCTTGTGACTAGACGGTTCTCTTTTTCTTTTTCTTTTTTTTTCTTTTTTATTATTTATATATTTGATGTTTAATGGCTAATCTAATATGTATATGCATTTAGTAATTGTTTTCAACAGACATACACACACACATATACACATATACACATATATATATATATATATATATATCTGTATGTATATGTGCCATGTAACATGTATAGAGTTTCGTTTAACACAAGCACAAACACACAAAAGGACAGTAAACAACATACAACATATATAGTATAAGCCAAAATAGTATTCCTTAAATGATGTGTGAGTGTGTATGTGTGTGTGTGTGTGTAATTTAAACCTTAGACATTCGTTTCCTGCTCGCACTGTTCCTGAGTAACTTTCTCCCCCGCCCCTCCCAAGATTATATATGACCTTTGAACGCTCATCCCAATTATACAATACTCTCACGATCCCGAGCCGTCGAGGTGGCAGTCACGCCCTGCACACTGCTGGGCAGGATGCCTACGCGTCGCAACGTGGAGTCACCACTGCGCATGCCGTTGCCCTTGAACAGGTTGACCACCCAGTTGCTGACTTTGCTGCTGCCACCGCCGCGTGTGCCACGTTGATTGCTGCCTGGCAGCAAGGCTAAACTTCCATCGCCGCCCGCTTGTTCCTGGCGTCCATCAATGTCAGCAGCATAGCTGACACTGTTGCCATGTCCCGGCACGCCGGGCTCCATATGCTCCAGCGACCGCCAGCGCTTGGAGGTCGCCATTAGCTCCTCGGGCGGCGCGGTTAGGGAAGCCTGTCGCTGCAGCAGCGGCGACTGCATGTCCTCCTCGATGCTCATGCCACCGTTGCAGTTGTTGTTCAGGTGCTTCGCACAGCTGCTGGCGGAGACGTTGCTGCTGCGCCGCCTGCTGCTCTCGCCGGCGGGCACAATGCTGGGCTGGGCGTTGGCAAAGCTGCTCGAGTAGCGCAGCATGGGCAGCTGCCCGTTATCGTGACGCATGAGCAGACCCCGCTCATCGTCGTAGCTATCATTGGCGTCCACCGGATTGGCCGACATATTATCATCCGTTTCATCCTCGACAGCCGCATCGCCATTGGGATTGCCGCTGATCAGCGAGACGCCCGTGTCCAGGGAGCGTGAGTTGTTCTTGGACAGCTTCGAGGGCGGCAGCTTGCCGCGTTCGTGTCGCTTGCGCGGCTGCTGCATCGGCATGGGATCCAGCGAGCGTGACTCCCGCAGCAGCAGCTCCGCAATGTTGTGATGCACCACAGCTGCTGGCATCGCCTGATCCTCGGGCAATGCATTGATGATGCGATGTGGCCGCACCATGGCCAACGGCTTGTGCAGCGCATTTGGCTGGCGCACCAGGCCAGCGGCACTGATGCCGCCGTTCAACTCCAGTTCGCCATCGAGCATGGCGGCTTCGTTAGTATCACAGTTCGTTTCATTTGTATCGGAATGATTCAGCGTGCTGAGCGAGGCCTGCGCGGACTCCAGCAGCGCGCCGCCAACAAAATGGCCGCCCAGTCCATTCACGGGTCGTTCCCGTTCACGTTCTCGCTCCCGCTCCCGCTCCCGTTCTCGTTCCCGCTCTCGATCCCTCTTCGATGCCAGACGCGGCGATTCACGCGCCACCTGACAGACGGAGCCCTGCAGACTGTAGGTGGATTCCACATCCGTTGGACGTGGTACGCTGCTCTGTCGCCGCGATCCAGTGCCACAATTGTGCATGGCCAGCAAACTGGGCTGCCTGGAGTCCGGATTCAACTTGGGACTCTTCCTGGGCCGGCTGAACAGCGGCGGTGGCATATCCGTCATATCCACCACCTTCTTCTGTATGGCCTTCTCGTTGGCGCCCACTAGCCACCAGGTGACCACCTCGCCCTTGCCCTTCATGCTGACTAGCCCTCGCTTCTCGGTTATGTAGCCGCCACCCAGTTTGTCCAGTGCCAGTTTACACTTATTGGATATGTGTATCTTCAGCGCCTCGCCGTTGCTCTCCATGCGCGAGGCTGTGTTCACTGTGTCCCCGAAGAGACAATATCTGGGCATGGTGAGACCCACCACGCCAGCCACCACCGGACCCGTGTGCATGCCGATGCGCAGCTTCAACGTCTCGTTGGGTCTGTGGGCAATGCGATGCTGTTTGACAGCATGCAGCAACTCCAGCGCCATGGACGCAATTTCACCCGCGTGCCGATCCCCGTTCTTAATGGGCAGACCAGAGACCTGCAAAGTCCAGACACAATTAGTTTATATACCGATTCGACAATGGAGCTAGCCACAGCGCACTTACCACCATGTAGGCATCGCCTATGGTCTCCACCTTGTAGACATCATAGCCGCGTATGATGCGATCGAACACCGTGTAGAGATCATTCAAAAAGTTTACCACCTGCAACGGCGTACTCTCCGCGCTAAGAGCTGTGAAGCCCACAATGTCGCTGAAGTAGATGGTGACCTGTTGAAGAGAATGTGTCACTATGATTGGCATCCATTAGAATAGCATTTGAGGCGGGGCGTACCTGATCATAGGAGACTGGCTCTACGCCCTGACCCATGGTCAGTTTCTCGGCCACCGATTGCGGCAGCATGCGATGCAGCAAATCCTCCGTCTTCATTTTCTCCTCGCACAGCAAACGCGTGCGCTCCGTAACAATTTCCTCCAAGTTGTTGGCATACTTCTCCATCATTTCCATCATTTGATCCATGATGTTTTTGGTTTTTCCACCTCGCATTTTCTTCAACCGATTGCTAGAATAGGTAAATACGTTAAATTATTATAAAACTCTCTTTCTCTCTCTTTAGTTTACTTCACTAACCGTATGGCACTGAACTCGGGTCGGTCGTCGGGATTCTCGGCCCAGCAGTCCTTAATGCAGGCCAGCACATAATCCGGACAGGACTCCGCCTCTATAATGGACTCGACCTCGGGACGAAATGGCTCCGAGCCTTTGAGTGGCTGCTGCTTAACTAAGTCCACAATTTGCTTTGGTTCAAAGTTGGTTTGTCCAAATGGACCCTTACGACTAAATATTTCGTACATTATGATGGCAAACGCGTAAACATCGCCCTTCTGGCTGCCATGCAAATGATGATTGCGCAACAGCTCCGGGGCGCGCCAAAGTTGATCTGCAATAGACGAGAGAAATTTGAATAGATATATCATTTATATATATTTATATCATATGATCTAAGACGTACTTCTGTAATGCTGATGCTCGCCAATGGACTCGCTCTCGGCGCATTGGCGCAGCTCGTGCAGTCCAAAGTCTGTGACCTGCAGCATCCAGCGCGAGGTGACGACACAATTCGAGGATTTGAGATTGCCATGATAGATTAGCTGTGAACTGTGTATGTACAGCATGCCCTGAAAGGATATGAACAGATCTTTCACTCAACAACTCCAAATATACATGTCAAATTATATAGCTCCCACCTTGATGAGATCATTGATGAGCGAGGCTATGAATAGATCATCCAGCTTGATGTCCTCGTTCTCAATGATGTCGTACAGGCTGCCCTTGGCGCAGTAATCCGTGACTAGCAAAATTCGTGTGGGCTCCACACAGGCGCCAATGAAACTATTGATATTATCGTGGCGCAGCTCACGCAGCAGACGCATCTCCTTCATGATCTCGCGCGAGATGTCGCGCTTGCGCGGAAACTTTAGCTCCTTGATGCGCACAACGGCGCCGCGCAGACGCGCCGTCGAGGTAACAAACTGATGGGACCAACGGGAGCCAAAGCTCTGAGCGCTCATCAGACTGACCTGCAAAGTAAATCTCAATTTAGTACAGTCTATTCCATCAGTCAATGTACCGTTCACATACCTTGCTGGGCGATGAGACGATTTCATTGCCCGAATAATCCTTGATCTCGCATATGTCTATCTTCCAGAGCAGACCCTCAATTTCCAGCTCAATCTTCCACTTGCGATAGATGCTCATGGTAACCACGCCGGAGCAGAACAGCAGAACGCCCAGCACCACCGCCGCCACAGTGGACGTGTAGTGGGTGTCGTCCTTCTTGCACAGCTCATTGGCAAAGCCGCACATCGGCTCATCGGTGGGCTTCTCGCCGCCCGAGGGCCAATCGATGGAACCGTTTATCAGTTTATATTCCTGCAATCAGCGATCAATCGAGAGTTGTTCAGTTCAGTGAGATTCTCGCTTAGAGGCGGATTTTCAGAGCAAACTCAAAGTAATGCAAACTAAAAAAGAGAAGACGACTCACTCACTGGAAGTTCTTCGCCTTGATGGAAATACGCCACCGGCACCATATGGTAATTGCAGCGTATATTCTCCGATATGTTCCATTTATGGGGCTTGTACGCCAGCACCGAGAAATTGCCCTCCGAGTCGCCATACTGATCGATTTTGATCGTTGAACCGGTGACACCTATTTTGGGGCAACAGAATGCAAATGATCAGATCTCTAATATTCGATAGCCTTAGCCAGTGGAGCACTCACTCATATAAGTACGATTTTTGATGATGGTATCGATGACACGCGTTCCATTGCTGGCCACCTCAGAGATGACCTCATCGGTGAGCACGCGCTCCTCCATGCGCAGCATTTTGTCCAGCGCCCAGGCATAGAGCTTAACCGAATCATACAGATAGGCCGCATAGATCGATATGAACTGCAAATGAATAGATTTTATAGATCTAGTCTTTTTCTCCCTTCCTCTCTCTCTCTGTCTCTTCTCTTACCTTGCTAAATTTGCTTTGCGAGAAGAGCTGCGGCACCGTAAAATTGAAGGGCGGCATCGAGCTGTAATTGCGCACCTGCTCCGTAAATTTCTCATAGCCCTTCGTGGGTGGCGTGGAGGCCACGACGAGCAAGCTGCGCGCCAGCTGATTGAAGTTCTCGGTGCTCTTGCAGTTGGTCATGCGATTGATTTGATCCACCTTGCGCAAATACTTCTGTGCCTCACTGTAAATAGAGCAAGTAAACGTTAAAATCAAGTATATACATATACAGACAGTCTTTACTAACCGCTCTGAGTAGACCATCATGTCCACAAAGATGACCATATACTCGCCACGTGCAAACAGCCCAGCCGTATCCATCGAGCTCATAAAATCAATCAAACTATTCGCCGAGCCGAGAAACACATAGATGCGCGTGCGGTTCATCGTATTTTGCACGACCTTGAAAATGATAGAAATATAAATTAATATCAATCAATTATATAACCTTCAAGTAACACTCACCTGATACCAATAGCCTGAGCGGCAACAGGAAATCATCTGCTCACAGCACTTGGCGCGATCATCGATGAACGACCGCTTGTGATTGATGGTCATGTTCCTCTTGGAGGCCTGATCCTTCAGGAGATCAGCGACGGTGCCCCACACCTCCTCGTACAGTATGGAGAACTTGTTCCAGGCATAATAGCGCAGCAACGCAATTACCGACTTAACGACCTGTAACACGAATGACAACAATGTTATTGGATTACTTCTAGGAACGTGGCCCGGCATCGCCTTCAGATGCCACCCACATCGCAATTGATGTGTGATTTGTGAGCTGTCAAGGCCAAGGCAATATATTTAATACAACTCAGTGGCAGCATGCCAAGGGCTTCAACACCTGTTGCAGGTAGGCGACACACGTGCCATCTGGGCCACTGCCACCTCCCACCCATCCACGTTCACACTCACCTGCGTATCGGGCGGTTCGGTGCGTGCAAATGTTGGTATCGAGGATGCACGGTTCTCTGCGCATTTCTATTAGAAATGTTCATGGGGCGGACGGGAACAGACGACGGTTGCAAGAGAGTTAGAGGAAGAGTAAAAGAAATGCATTTAATTTGATACAACAAACATTTGGAGGGCAACTGACAGCGAGCGTGTTTAAACATGCCCACAACTGACACAAGACGCAAGCTGACATATATACTCTATATAAGAACATACATAGGATATCATTGGAATGTTGCGACTCTGCGAGACAATTGCTTCCACATAGCACGGGCCCTCCGGCCCGAATATGGTCGCAATGCCATCGCATATCATCTCGGTGATGGCCTTCGTTGCCAGCACCGTATCACCCTTGGTATCATTCCAGCGCAGCGCTAACGTAACATTTGGCAGCAAATTTGGATCTCTGTTGATCTATAAAAGTGAAAAGAAAGCAATTCAGTACCTTAACATAATAATAGTTAAGAAATATGTTAATTAACAGTGTGTTAACAGCACACGGTTATTATAAGGCTTTTGAGCATTAACATTATTTATAGACTACATTTTATAGACATTATTTTAAATAAAATAATTTTTTATTTTTTATTTTTATTACTATTTAAAATTAAATCATTACATTATTGAGAATCAAATAAAAGAGAATTGCTAAACAGTTGTCTACTTTTAAATGCATAAACAATAAATGCAACCAGATATAAAAGCTTCCTTAACATGTTGAGTATTACGCTAATCCGTGCTGTAGCTACTGATTGCCCAGTCACTTTTACAATTCGTGTTTGGCTTAGGATTATATCTGCTTATGATGTTTATATGTATATATGTGTGTGTGCTCAACTTACCTCATCCAGTGCCATTGTCAGTGCACCGGATATGGCCAAGCCCTGGCGGTCCTTGAGCTCGCCAGTGAGAGCCGTCAGATAGCCAACAGTGAGGATGGTATGATTGCTACAGTCGCGTACTGCCACCGAGAGCAATAGTAGTAAATTGAAGGGCCAACGCGTCATGGCCCCTTAGGCCGGGGCCGTTCAGCGCGACGCCTATGGGTGCTAACAGATTTACACGCTGCAAATATGCCAAAGAAAGAAAAAAGAGAAAAGAAAAGGGTCATTAGGTCAATATGCCAAAACGAGTAAAATATGAAAAGTTGCAAAATACAGGAAAGTTGGGTAGTCTACTTATGGATGTTAAGGAATAGTTGGTAGTTTATAATGGAATAGTAATGCCAATGTAAGTAAGTAAAGTTATCCTAATAAAGGATTCTGGAGATTTGAACTTATTGGAAACATTATTGACCAAGCCCAAGATCAAGATCAAGCTCTGTTAGTCATAAAGAAAGCAGAGCAAATCAAGCAAACAACGAACTTTATAAATTATTTTATTGCTGATGAATAAAATAGATTGATGGTGTATTATGGATATCTGAGAATATGTATAAATTGCTACAGGGTATCCCTCATGTTTGTTAAAGTTAAACAGACACACTCCATCTCTGTCTGCCTCTCCCACACTCCTGCCCTCTCTCGGTGTCGTCTTCTTTCACTGCGCCAAGCAGTGGTGTAAAAAATGAAAAGTAAGGAAATTCTATTGGATTGCCGGCAGTACGCAGAGAGTGCAATATCCGGACTACTTAGTCCAGCTAGTTGACTGTCAAATGTCAAAAGTTACACACAGACACACATAGACACCCATACACACACACACAGACAGACACATACACCCACTCAAAGTGAGAGTAAGATACATGGAATGTCAAGTTAAATTTCACTTTTGTTTCTTTGCCAGCATTCCTACTTTGTTTTTTTTTTTTTCTTTTCGCTCTTCTTTTTTATCCTCTTGTTTGCTTTGAAACAGTTTATGCATCTTTTTGCGCTTATCGTAGAAGCACATTTGTATGCGTGCCTGGCCATCAGCATAAGGAGATTCGTATATGCCAGGAGCTATTTTGCATTCGATATATAAGAAGGACGATTCTCTGTTTCCTGTTTCCAGCTTCCACTTCTCCGCCTCCTGTCCACCCTGCGCCAACAGAGGCACGCGCCACATTCTCGTGCATTGTTTGTTATTGCATTAATTATGCATGAGCCGATTTTCTCATTATATAATATTGACAGTGATATTATGTATGTTCCATCCGGACTCTGTCAACAGTCGCTCTTGCTCATGTGTTAAATGCATTGAATATGTTAAGCAATCACCTGCAGTTTTTTTTTCTTCCATATTATGTAGTCATACCAACTAAATTTGTCCGTTATATTTATCAGTCAAGTTCAATTTAACTGTTTATTTCCCCCATTTCTTTCCTCGCCTCTTTTCCAGTAAACCTACTTTTGATTAAAATCGTTTCAGACACTTTTCTAGAATCCCAATCATGTTTTTTGCACCCAGTTAATTACAGCATAGATGTTTCTATGTAGGATCGTTGGATTTCAGGGGTTTTGCAGTTTTAAATGAAATTTAAGGATAACAAAAACAAATCCTAAAAGCCATGCCATTACAAATGGGTTCAAGGCATAAAAGTAACTTCTATTTTATGATTATCTGCATAATAGGGTATTCAGAGAAAATATGCTTTAGTTTCTCACATTCCGACATTAAATCAGTCAATCTTTTCGTTCCAAATTACATTCCGAAAGTCAGATGAATTTTTTTTGTACTCAGTTTCTCATTCAGTTTACTGTCCAGTCGCACACATCATGTTTTTTGTTTGTTAGAAATTCTTTTATTTTGTTGTTTTCCTTTCAAAATTTTTCGTTTTCGTTTCAACACTCCTCCGGCAAAAAGACACCCAAAATTCAATGTTTAGCTAAGCAAACCAACAAACTAGGAAGCTCGCTCTTGTAGTGCAGTGTTAAGAAGGTGACCTCTTATATATGAATTATGTGACTACAGCAGTACGAAAGATTGGGCCCAGCGCGCACGGTAATACTAATGCTGCATGAACCATCTTTAGACTGGCTATTATCTCTTCCATTTCCATCTTTCGTCCATGGCCCAGATTTTAGCAATCTTTTCGAGCGCACCAAACCCACTTCAGGATGGCCATACATGAGCAGATCGATAACCTGAACATCTGGTGGTTTCCGCGCGACTTTTGCCAGTCCCGATTCGGCGAGTTTCAACAGAGTGGCACCAATTCGTGTACTCTGATATCGCTGATCCTGGCGGATAAGGTGGCCAAGGCGGAAAGGTTCTATCATCGTGTGGGCGAATTGCCACCTCGGGGCTGGGAGCTTTTCGGGAATGCAATGAACGATGGCAACAGTGTCTATCACAATGTTATAACAGCCCATACGCCCTTATCGCGCAATCTAAATCTTAATATACCAGACGCAATATCGGCGATACGTTCACAGCAAAAGATGAACTTCCGGCTGGAGGAGTGGTTCTACACGCATATGGAGGCCGATCCTAGCAACCCCATGTATAATCGCAACGTTGCCATGCAGCTCTCTCGAATCTTTCAGATCACATTGCAGGTATTCCAGCAGGCGGGCGGCTCTGGTGGCCGAGAGATGCCCAGCAATCTCTTTGCCGCTATTATCGCGGATAGTCGCACGGTGATGATGACCTTTGATTTTCGCGCCTCAATAGTCGCTCTATTCGATTCTCATCAGCATGGCCGCGATGCTGGCGCTGTTTTCGCCCAATGTACCATACAAAATATGGACGATCTGCTATTCTGGTTCATTAGTATGCTGCACAATGTCTACTCCAGCCGGCCCGCCCTCTTCGAGATCTCGTTCCTGAGCTCACAACCGGGCGTGGCTAAGCGCATACCACCTGCCATCAAGAAGATTGCGAATGAGATTAAAAAACCGACCAAGTCACACTAAACCGGGCAAAATCATATGTATCATGTATATATATATATTTCTAAATTCATTTATATATACACACATATGATATTAGCATGGTTATATATCCGATTCACCTGCATAATGACTGAAGAGTTTGCCTAGTTCCTGAAATCATTGGGTATTCAAGAGAAAAAGTTGATCTTCAAAGGCTCGAAAAAAAATTATCAAAAACAACTAAATTCCAAAACTTAAAGAAATAAATTTTATACACTAACCTCACAAAAAACAAGAACAAAAAACAAAAAAAAAAAAAAGAAAACGTGTTTAACATGTGTGTAAATGAAAAAACTAGATCTATTGGAATTCCATATTATCTGAAAAGCTATAGTTCTTGAGAGCTTCCTGCATATTGTGCTTAAATTATTTGCAGGAAAACCTAGATTTTCTAACGGAGCTCTGCTTGTTGCCTATCCTACAACAAGAACAGCAATAACGAGCAAAGCAGGCATATTTACTAAGCGTGTCTTTTGTTGCGCTTTTGCTCGTCTGCTAATCAAAATGAGTTAAATAAACACATAACGTAACCTATTAAGAACTTGGTACGTGACAACAATTTAAATATTTTTATTGTAAACAGAGAGCGGAATGTGCGCCAAGACTGAGAGGCGAATAAAAGACCAATGGGCTAAAAATAGAATTCACATTTCAAAGAAAATATGAGAAAAACAAATCGAGCAAAACAAGAATCAAAAGAAACGAAGCAACTAAAAAGTAAACTTTAAACGTAACGACGACGACGGCGGCTGCGGCTGCGGCTGCGACAACGGCAACGACGTGATAAAACGTTTAACGAAATCAAATACAAAAACAAATACAAATGCAAAAACAAATACAAATGCAAATGCAAATGCACACAGAGAGAGCGCGAGAGAGCGTGCAAGACAGAGAAGAGAGTAAACATGAACAGACCAGACCAGCAGACCATCGAGAGCAGACAACTGGAAGTTGTGTAACCACGCCAACAATAACATCACGTAGTCGCAACGTGCAGCGACCGCTCTCCCAATGCAGCTCTCCCTCTGCCGCACTCTTTCACTCACACTCACACACACACGCACACACGCTCGATGTTATGGTGCTCTTACTTTGGCGCTCTCGCAGCGCAACAAGTTGCAAATGCAATGAGTCGCTCACTTCATATTGTTATTATTGTTGTTGCTGCTGTAGTGCTTGTACTTTAGCGTAGTTAAAGTTAAAGTTGTTGCTGCTGGCAGTCTAAAAATAAAGCTTGTACACTAAAAATAGACACGACGGCACGCCATTGGATAAACTAACACGACATTACATATTTTTACAAACAAACATGATAAACCTCACGAACAGACAGCTAGTCAAAGGAGAACTGGTGGGAAGGAGGGTGGGAGCGAGGGAGGGAGGGAGTTCGCTCTCACACACACACACACAAAGTTATGGCAACACATGTACGAGCAAATGTACATGCAAATACAAATAGAAAAACCTGCGTGAGGCGACGAATACAACTGACTGCCGGGTTGTCAGTCTGATCTGTCTGTCATTCCATTAATATGCATACATACACACACGCAGCCATACATTCATATGTGTATGCATATGTTTTATATATGTATTTGTTTGCTTAAAAGCCCTATGGCAGATAAAGCTTTATATTTATAAGTTTAACACAGCGAAACAACTTCCGCATTCGAGCTCGTCATATCGAAATCGAGATTTAGATTAGTAGCAGTAATCGATAGGCATAATCAAGCAATTTTTAACTATGATAATCGAGCGTTGACTTTGAAAAAGCCAATTACAAATAACTTAATTCATAAATATATTGCTATGTAAACATATCAGCCCTTTAATATATTCTAAATATTATATAACATTTGGTAATAAATTATAATATTTACTACATCAACTCCTGTTCGAGAATGCTATAAAAGTTCATTGGCCTAGTGCCTATCTATTCCAAACATTACTTAATATGCTCACTGATTGAAAATTTTCTGGGTTTTATGTTGTTTACACGCCCCTACACACTCATACCTATACTTTTTCTCCCTCACACGCTCACAGCCAGTGGAGTGTTAAACAGGACAGAACTTTAGGCATCTCGTTCAATGCCATCAATCATCAACAAGTTTACGCCCACCACAAACAGCCACGCCCCAACGCCAGCGCCAGCTATCGAGCCTTGTCAACGAAAGGCGATGCCGACGCTCAAATGGCCAACAACCGCCGACCCTAAACGAGTAAAGGGTTCGAAGGCCATTTAGTTAATGTTTCAAAGTGTGTGTGTGTGTGTGCATGTGCGTGGCAAGTGTGGCGTGTGGCGTGTGGCAAGTGCGGCATTATTTGATAGGATTATGAGACTCCAGAGCGTGATTTGGGTGACATTTGTTTGTTAAAACGAGAGCAGCAGAGCAAAGTTCGAATTGTTTTAATTGACGCGTTGAACTTTTCATAATCCAGGAGCAGATATCAAATGGCCAGGACAACGAGAGTGATAATGCCGCAACGCTTGGCAGACCAGCTTGACAACATTCAAATCAAATTACAAGGCAAACGAACTGTTCAAGTGTTGCGAATGTGTCACACTCCGTTTTGCTCCTCTCCCCCTTGTCGGAGGACGGAGGACTATGCCAAACAGAGACTAGAGCAACCTGAATCTGAGTCTGGACTCGACCCCGAACCAGTCCTCTTAGCCATGATGCAATCACTGCCTTGGGCCATTGTCCTCAGTTCGAACACATCATATACAAATGCTACCCATTCCATTTCATACCCAATCCTATTTCCATTTCCATTTCCATTCGCATTCTCATTCCCATTCGCTACTTCAATTCCATGCCACATTTGCCCAATCTCCGTTCCCGTTCTCTGCTCAGACAATCAGTTGATTAGAATATTGTTAACAGCGCCAGAAGCTGTAATAAGATTTCGCTTCTTTTTTCCCTGTCCTCTTGCCCCCTACTCAATCAATTGTCGCCAAATCAAATGAAGACAACAACTAAATTAGATTGAATTAAATTATATCTATGTATTGTAGTGGGAGTATATGAGAGACGGCAAGAAATTTTGATATGAATATATGATATGAAATATATAATTATAAAATATATTTATTTTCAAGTATTTAATATACCTCTTAGTATATTATTAGTAAATTTCTTTTCTGTCCTTAAAAATATATTTACATTTATTCTCTGACTTTTCGTAAACGTTATGAGCAAAATCTCTTTATTTTAATGTTCCGTTTTCAATTTGTTAACCATTTTGTATGGATTATTCTAAAAAGGAAATATCCACTTGAATGGTGTACAGATTTTTGTACATAAAATGTTAAGTGGATTTACATATCTTTTTATTGGAAAACCAATTTTCTTTTATATTGTGTCAGTTGCACAACTCCAATCACATGCTTAAAATACTTTGCTCAGCTAAGGAAATTCCGACAGCACAATGTCAAGCCTGATAGCGCTACGAGTGGGTGTGGCAAGGGGCAACTGGAGACGCAGCCGCCAAAAAGAAAAAAAAATACATAATAATGAACAAATTTCACTTTCAAACGAGTGACAACAATGAAGAAGATAACGAAGACTCTCTGGCAACAGCAACTTCAACTTCAGCGGCTGATGATGATGAAGTTAATGATGATGATGCTGTGCGACGAGCAGCGCTTGTTGCAGCCTTAAATGGTGCTACACGACGACAATTGCAACGTTTTGGCATTTCAACTGCTGCTGTTGCTGTTGCTGTTGCCACTGCCTAAGGCTGAACTAGAGAGTCATTCAAGTCATTCAAGTCATGCGGTTCATTCAGTTAAGAAGTCCATATCGAGCTGCCCAGCAGCAGCGGCGCCGCCTGTGTGAAAGTGAAGGGCGCTGAACTGAATGACAAACTGAATTGAATGACAGTCGGAGTCTGACTGAGCTGCATTTCAAATATTTATTTGAAAATCGAATTTGTGCAACATGCAACATGCAAAAACATTGGACGCTGCTGCAGCTCCCAAAAAAAAAAAAAAAAAAAAAAGAAAAAAAAAAAAAAAAAAAAAAAAAAAAACGGAACACAAAAAAAAAAAAAAAAAAAAAAAGAAAACAGGATTTTCTAAAAATAGATGCCATGGCTAAATACTTGAATCTGCACCACATGCGCGCAACGGCCGCCAAAAGCCAACCAGACAGTATGCAGTCAGCCATCACTGCCTGTTGGGCAGGACTTTCAGTGAAAAGGGTTTTTGTGGTCCTCGCTGCTGGCACAACAGATAGGAAACACAATTTCCGCTATTGGCCAAAAGATTTCATCATCGCATACCAAATAGCACAGCAGCCAGAAATTCGTACTTTATCGAACGCTTCGACAAAAGAAATTCCTGTTTGCATTGAAACTGCATGAAGAGGCTGCAAAACGTTTCCCATAGAAAACTAAGGCGTAAAATAGAGTTTCGCATGAAAACCAATAGACTTGACAATTCAAATGAGATAACAACTAGATATGTTGCAAGATAATAAAACAGAATTTAGTTTCAATTTTGCAATTTTGTCATTTTGCTTTGCCCCGACAAAGGAGCTCGGCAAACACTGTCCGGCAGAGCTCCGCATGCCCCAAGTAACAAATATTAGAACTTATATTACGTATACGCCGCATCGAAGGAGTTGGAAATTTTCCACTCTTGTGTGCCTCGGTTTGGAATGCTGCTGGCAGGTCACTCACATTGGCACCAGCAAAATGATAATAATAATAAAAATAAACWTAAATCAAAACTGAAGCTACACTGAGCGAAAAAAAAGACTTTTTGCTGCCTTGACTTGAATAAATTAATTAGCACAAAAATTTAAGTTTTTCTCTTTTCAATTATAAACTATGAGAGGAGACATATTCTCCTTATCCTTTATAGCCGTTTTAAAGAATTTTCGAACATGATTTATGCCCTGCTGCTTGAATAGTTTGCCTGCTTTAAGTGGAGCGCAAGAAACTAGTATGTTTATTAATAGGTATATAAGACATATGTGCATATCAATATATGTATGTGCATATATGTACATACATGTATATATAGTTGAACATTAGTAATATTCATAATACCAGTTAAACCACTTTGCGTGCAACGGCAGACAGTGCGGCAGCCAGACCAAAAGGCGAGACGACATGGCTTGATAAGCGGCAGGCAGAAGGGGCAGCAACCTGCCTGGGAACTTGTTAAGACCCATCAACGGCCAGCGCTGGCCAACAGCCA